GTGTATATTTGCTGGTATGACCATAACGTAGAGCCCGCTTGCAAAACCTATCAATTTGGGAAAGAAATTTACTATAGTGTTGCGCAAGCCCACACCTCAATCGCATAGGTGAAAAGTGACATTATAGGCTGTCAAACAGCAGTGTAAACTCTTGTAGTGAGTAGCCGTAGTATTTACAAACTCTAAGGATGTACAGTCTAGAACTCGCTTTGCTAAGCATATTTTCGAATTGAGTGTCCCAATTACGTGGATCTTCATCGACTGTAACTCCTAACAGCTTTAGTTCACTCTTCCTAACTACTCCATCCATGGACTCTGGGAGGGGCATCCTGGTTTTACCCTTAACAACCATCTCAAAGGTCTTTTTCATGTTCAGCTTCATCAGGTTATCATCAGCCCAACGTTTGATGTTTGCTACTTCCTGATGTGATGAATCAGTGTTATTGAGGCCAATTGTCACAGGCACACTCGCTGTGATATCATCAGCATATTTGATCAGTAGGGTTTGAGGGATTACAGGTTTGGTGTCATTAACCATGATAAAAAACAACAAGAGTCCAAGCACAGTCCCTTGGGGAACCCCTCTATTGATCTTGAGAAAACTGGTAACCACTCCATCAACCACTACGTACTTTCTGTTGGCGATCACACAGGAAGCACATTATCCAGTTCTTAATGCATGGGTTAATGTCATACGACACTCTTTTCGCACAGAACGCGATGGGAGACTGAGTCAAAAGCCTTACTAAAATCAAATGAAAAGGTTCTGACAAAATCCGCATCCCTGTCAAGTTACTCGAGCCAAAAATGATGACTTGATGAGGGCCATGGTCGTGTTGTGTCCTTTCTTATAAGCAAATTGGTTAGGTCCAATCGCTGACTTGAGGATAACTATTAGCGACGTCCCCCGAAACACGCCCTGCCTTTTTAAACGCAAACATTTTTTGAATTATGAACTTCCTCCGAATATAAACCAACTTTCTTTTATTAAAATTGTCTTAAATAAAGATTATTTTGCGGTTATTTATCAAATAAGCTTTTATCAAACTTGATAATACATTAATTTTGAACACGTATGTGCTTATTTTGAAATCTCTCGATCGAGCCACAAGTGTGTTCATTTATTTACATCTACATCTACGTCTACGTGTGTAATTTGGCAAACAAAACTATCTCGAGTTATCACGCCAACTTTTAAAATTTAAAAAATAAATAATAGATAAAAGTAAATAATTAATAGATAATAGATAATCCTTAACTGAGAAGCGTTTTTTGTCCCCATTTCCGCTGAAGTGGAAACAAAATTTAGGAGCTGGTTTATTGAGCTTCTAGACCTACCAACTCTCAGGCCTGCGGATCTAAATTGTGATCTCACGCATTCAGACCAATTTCTCACGCCTAACTGACAATAGCGAGTGTAATTGCTTAAAAACCGATCATTTTTTTCCGGCGAAAAACAGTTGGTGAGTCCAGCCAAAAAGCGTCTTCAAGCTTACTCCGTTACGCATACTGAGTTCGCGACACCAACCTCGTGTTTAGATTGTGTGACGTGACACGTTTCCGGTTTACGTCGTCGAAAATCTTTCTACACCTTCGGTTAACTTCGGAAGCCGTCGGGAAATCTTCAGCAATCTTCGGACGTCATCGGCAATCTTCGGCAATCTTCGGAATTTGTCGGTAAATCTTCGGGAATTCAGGTTCCGTGGAGACGAAAAATCTCACGAATTTTACTGAAAAAAAGTCGGCAGGTGTCTCTTGAGTTAACGTCGTAATTTTATGACGAACTGGTTGTAGAGGGACTGAAATTTGTAGGGGATAACAAAATTAGCCGTTGTAAGTTGGGTTTTTACATTATTATTTTTTTGGATGGTTTTTGTGGTAACTGCCTTAAATCAGTCACCACTATGTCGTTGGTTATGTAAGTATGAAGTCTAGTGTTGGAAGTTTTCAGAGCAATCTCAGTGAGACTGATTTTTACATTGTATAATTGGTTCCGTTTCATTGAATATGACATTTGTCGTTACAAAAAAAAGTTTACCAGCAGAAACATGGCGCTACAAACGTCTACCATGACACAGGCAATGTAACCTACTTAAGTAGTGTTCAAAAGAACACAAAACCTAATTTTGTGTTGGTGTCCTGTGTACATGCTGGGTGTGCTGCATGATACAGGGGCAATGCTGTAGTCAAAGCAAATTTAGCCGCCCCGAAGATTTATTCAGGGGCTGTGGCCTCGCTTTCATAATATCGACCGTGCTTTAATGCAGGTACTCAAAGTTAGCCAGTACTCATTTATACTATCTCCTGAGTGGAGACACACATTTTCACTCTGTCTTGACCAAGAGCACAACACAAGGACCTGAATACGCCCAAACCCGAACCTAATCTCAAACGTTATCCCTAGTCTGTCACACTAACCATTAGGAATGAAAACAGAGTGGTCTTTACTAAACATTTCTTTATGCTTTATTATTATTTCTTTTATGCTGCTGAAAATCTAAAATGAACAATAAAAATACTTGAAATAAATATTTCTTTCTAGGAATTTTGGTGTGTAATAATTTAAGAGTCTTTATGATAATATCATGTCAAATTAGAAAACAGTCCTAAGAAAATACGTGGGCTGATTGGTTGAAAATCGTGTTTCTATAACTTGATGGAAACACAAAACTAGCATGAGCTGTTGACGTAATGATGGCGTGTGCAAAGAGAATTTCCTGTTTTGATGATCAAAATAAACAAGTTGTTTCCCTTTTTTTTCGTTCCCTTTTTTTCGTCATGGTGTTTTCTAAAAGAAATAGAAAACATGTTCTCCRTGTTTCTATTGAGTTATAGAAACACTCRTGAAAGTTTGGGAGAACTCGAAAAAGCTGGGGAAATACTCGCCTACGGCTCGTGTTCCTACAGCATTTCTCGTTCTCCCAAACTTCCACTCGTGTTTCTATAACTCGATAGAAACACGGTACATGTTTTCTATTTCTTAAATGCTACACAGTTAATCAAATGGATAAGAGATTTACTATCTAATTATTTCTTCTCCCATGTCATGACTTTGAAACACTTTTGGTATTTTTTTTCAGGTCAAAAGGAACAAGATGATTCTACATATAACCTGATAAACCAGCATAGTATTAGTACTCTACTGCAAGGACTTGAATAATAGATGCGCAGATCAGAATATCGACAGATTGCGAGTAACACAAACACCTCAACTGTCAGTCTTTTCATCCCCTTAGTTTGAGAAAATGGGGTACTACTAAAGGCATGACAGCTTTTTAATCCTAACGAAGTCTTTCAAGTAAGTCTATGTTTGACCACATTTGATTACATTTCCAAACACTGGGAAAAGAGTTGAAAACACAACACATAGCAAAGTGGTTGTAACAAACGTTGGGGTGTTTTGAGTTGTGGTTTAACACTGTCTCGTGTGTTTGATATGCCTTCTCAATCAAAACTAAAACTAAGGAGAAAACAGAGAATTAAAATCGTAAAAATGTATGCTAATTAAGATCAGAAATGCAAACTCCATCAAGGTCATGATTTCCTGTGTTCACACTTGATAAATTATTAATGGTCAACTAGGTAATAATATAAGCTCCCTAAAGTCTGGGCCAGGTTGTTCGAAAGCCGGTTAACACTAACCCAGGATTAAAAGTCAACTGAAGTAACAATTTTTGTTCTATAAAAATGTTTTTCACTGCTTATGTTTTGTGTAGTTCGAGATTACTCAAGCTTAAAACTGAAGGACAAACAATATAAACTGAAAACCTCACCAAAAAGTTACAAAACTCAAACCAAATTTCTCGCTAATCCTGGGTTAGCTTAATCACGCTTTGAACAACTTGGCCCTGATAATTCTCAGCTAATCGGAGGTTGTTCCCTCTCATTCCTTCTCAGATTGTCTGTCAACAGGGATTGGTGATCATTAAATCCCAACCAGTGGTTGGTAATCACAAAAACGTGCACTGGGAATGCAAGATTCAATTTTCCATGGGGTTAAAGTCAACCAAGTGAAGAGAACCCCTCAAGATTACATTAATGAATTAAAAGGTTCAACATTCAAATAATCAATTTGTTATTGCACATCGAAATGACTAGCAGGTTCAATACATAAATAATCAATTCATTATTGAATTTTTGAAATGACTAGTAGGTTCAATATTCAAATAATTAATTTTCATTAATGTGATCTTGAGGGGTACACTTTACTTGGTTTGATTGTAATATTAAACGTGGTTAGAGCAAAAAAATAAGCAAACAACTAGTGAAGAGGTTATTTTACATAAAGCATTCATAAATACGATAAAAAAATAAAATAAAGCATTCATCTTTTCTGCATCTATTGGCTGGCAATTTTTTAACCCTATATACATCCCCATCATGTCCCTCTAAACTACTTCTTCAGCAATAGATCTAACATCTGGAGGAAAAAGAAATTCTATCCAGTTTCTTATGAATCCCCTGTTATATCGATGACTCCACAAAACTTCCCAAAATGGTTTTTTCCTGGAAGATCTTCGGAACTCATCGCCTGTCAAGTTGAAACTGACAAATACAAGCTGCTGTGAGAGGAGTGCAAACAATCCAAAAATGAAGATAACTGTGTACCATGATGTTACAAACACAACAGAGGACCTGAAAAAAACAATAACAATCACTGTCATTAAGAAATTCTTTACTGGATTCTCTCTGATATTCAATTGAAAATAATTAGTTTTGATAGCTTAGAGTTTATTCAAAGCCAGGAGCCATGTCATGGTTTGTGTATTTTGAAAATCAAATTTTCAAGTCCGCTGACTGCAATGAGGTACAGTGCCCTCATGGTAAGTGCCCTTGACTCCTGATCAAGCGGCTGGGTTTGAGCCCTGGCTGTGGTCATCGTGTTGTGTTCTTGGACAAGACACTTTACTCTCACAGTGCCTCTCTCCAGCCAGGTGTACAAATGGGTATCAGCGAATTTAATGCTGGGAGTAACCCTACGATGGACTAGCATCCCATCCAGGGAGGAGTAGAAATACTCCTGGTCGCTTCACGCTACAGAAACTGGGATAAGCTCTGGCCTGATGGGCCACTTGGTTCATATGCAGACTTTACCTATCGATTGCAATTCTTGTTAATTTTCTCTATCCTTATGCATCTTTGTTCCTTTATGGTTTATTATTTTCTCTTTAGTGTTTTTCTATCTCAGTGAACTATTATTTTCAGGTTTCCTTCAGTATTATAAAAGTAATTTTGTGTGTTTGCCAAAGTAACTCAATATACTGTGACTGAGCTCCTTTAATTAAGTTACCTTTACACTTCACGGTTTGAGATTTGTGCACTTCAGAGAAACAAGATCAAGTTTCACAAGGCTTATAATGGGTAAATTACAAAGATGACAACATGCTATTGTAACAGTCACATAACATGATGTGAAAGAAAACCTACCTAGAATCTGAATAGACATTTGAACAATCCATATAGAGAACACTACTGTCCAGAGATGTACAAACAGTGAGGAAAGAAAGATAAATTCCCCAAAGTCCTGTTACGATGAATATCGTGATAGCTGCAAGGAATGAACGGTGATTGTGCTGTCCAATGCAACTGTTTGTCCTGCATTCATTCAGAAAAAAAGAAAATAACTGTAAAATCAAAACCTCTTTACACTGTGATGTATAATTTTTTTTATAGTGAGCACCTGATAGTCTTTGACTGAACTCTTCTGCTACGTGGGTTCCAGTATTTTAATTTGAACAATCAAAATCTAAAGAGCTTACATGTAAGAGTTGAGTTCATGTGGCAAGAGTTAGATTTACCATAATGGCAGTTGACATGAAACTTTGAATTTACATGTACTTCATGTCAGTAGTTGCAAAATGTTACATTTTGTGATGTCTTACATGAAACAAAAAAAACGTAAACAAACTATTGAGAGTGCGCAGTATGGACTGGATATCATCTTTACAGGGCAGTGGTATAACATAAACTAATGTAATGACCAAGACTGATCTCTCTTTTTCTTTGAAATTCCTGAAGAACAAATGCATGGGCACTAGGACATAAGAAATGTCTTCTGGTACCCACTTGACTTGGGAAAGACAATTTCCATTTTCTGGTGCCCATGTTTTTCCAGCTCATATTGCATCTTGCTATTTCATGTCAGAAGCCTCTCATAGACTTAAGCAAAAAGACTAGTATATACCTGTTACTGACTGAGTAAAAGGTCTGTACTGTAAGTTATGGACTGAGACTTTTTCTCTTTGATTTATGGTTTAAGTGTGAAGCACACTGGCCATGAATTGAAGGGGAGAAAATGAGAATCCACAATTTACAGTGTGGACCAACAAGATGAGGTTAGTAACTTAAGATATTTATAATTACTTATTGCGTAGGCAGGAGTGTTTCACTGTAAATTCACTACTTTTTTAAAATTCAAACAAAATTACATCTGGAACTTGAGTTTCATGTCTTCCATGTCCTTACTAGTAAGGATATTGATGACCACATTTCCTGCTTTTTCACAGTTCTTTGTGCAAACAGTCAGTTTGCCTATATAATAAAACAAAAATTACATGGCAGCTAGTTGAAGATGGGAATTTTATTTTCTCATGTTAAAACAACATTGTGTATTTGTTTGAGCCACACATTTTATTCTCTTGCAATGCTTGTTCTCAAAATATTGTTTTATCCACTCGAAAATAAAATTCATATATTCACATTACTGTGTAAAATATCCTCATTTATCACTTACCAAACACAGTGATGGTCTGATCTTGGAACACAGTAGCCACAAATCCTACCAGAGGAGAAGAAAATATAATTCACAGTTTTTTGTAAAAAATGAAATTCAATTTAATTTGCTTTTGATTAACTATAATATAATAACTCAGGGTGATTTCAGATAGAGAGCAAGAACTTTTTGCCCTGTATGGTATCACTGAGAAATATCTGCCTCAAATATTAGAAACAATCATGACAGCATATTCAGCCATCAGCAATCAGGGATACTTTTTTACAAACATGAGGTGGCAGAGGGAGGGTAATCTGGACCCCAGGCATCTCCTCTAGAATTACCGCAGATTGTGAACTCTCAGAACCACAGACGTCAACCTAAAAAAAATTGAAATCTGGAAGATCGCCAAGTTTACCTTCTTGACCCTAAAAAACATTGTTAACAGTAAAGCCCCTCTGATTCAGCCACAAAAATGTGTCAAATATTCCAAATTTTTCCCTTGAAAAAGGCCAAAAATCAGCCAAAATTAGAACTTTCCTGCAAATCTGGGAGACTTGGTGAACAGCTAAATATGTAAACAAATTACTTTTGTTAACTATTCACCTATCTTTCAGCTCTACCTTAAAGCCAACTTCCAAAGGATATAAAAGGTGTCCTGGAAACCAGGGCTTCAGGTACTGCACATTTATCATAAAAGTTCCATGGACTAGCACAGTGTTTACAAAGAAGGGATGAACAGTACTGTACTTACAAAATGTCTCCCAAAAAATGTACAGACAAGGATGTAAGCTTTGGAGGATGGCACCTGATACTCAGCCATAGTTTTCTTGCCAAAGTAGATTACTGTCTTCCCTCCCAGGAGGGGAGACTCCTATATATAAAGGACAGAGGTGCTGGTTGTACCTTTTAGGGGTTAAAAATGCAATTTTGGTACCTCTTAGGGTGTTCAGCCTTACAAGGTCCACAGTGGGAGCTTTTGTGGTACGTTTTAGGATATCGAGCTGAAAAAAAAAAAAAAAAAAAAAAAAAAAAAAAAATGACAGGAGCTACGATCTGATTTTTAATTTTGTCCCAGAATTGGTACCTCTTAGGGGTGAAACAATTTCAAGCCACACCCACACACCAGGATCTTGGTACCTCTTAATTAAGCGTTTTTTTTCAAAATTTCTGATGAGCACCCCTGTTCTTTTTATAGGAGAGTCCCCCCTTGGTCTTCCCATTTTACTGAGATAATGTGAGATAACCTACCTACAATGCTTTGCCCTGGTAAAGGGTCCTTCAGTACAGAGACAACAGTTCAGATCCTTGTAACTACTTGCATTAACATGTGAATTGTTTCGAAGGAGTGGTTTAGAAATCAAGGCGTAAGCGTTGAGGAGGCTTCTGGAAAATATTGCACGCAAGTATAACAATAACACCAGAATGAAACCAAGAGAAATGACGATAGAATTGAGGTACGAGTAGAAAGGAGAAACATGCAGAAGATAGAGACTAAAAATACCAACAAGAGATGTTAAACCCCAACTTACAAAGAACCAAGTTTTTTTCCGCTGGTTTAACACGTAGACATAATAAATAAGGATAAACACAGGAACGTAAACCAGTACAAGGACGGTGAAGACGAAGCTAAAGCAAGCAAAGTACAGAGAAATTGCCAGAAAAAGGACAGGGACAAGAGCATCAAACTCCACTTTTATAGCGCCGTTGAACCAAGGGATGCGAATACGATCAGATATCACCGTAGAAATTTCATTCAATTTCTCTCTCGGGACTCGGTTTCCTTTGAGACACTGGTCGACGGCGTTGTCCAGTTCATCACACTCGCAGCAAAATGCAAGGATGTGGGTTCTCTGGCCATGAAGATTGCGGAATTCACAACAACACAGCGGGGAAGGATCTGATATCATTATGAGACCAAGAAATCAGTTCTTTATGTTCCACTAACTCGATGCATTGAATGAAACACTGATACACCGCAGATAACCAAAGTTGTATCGGCATTTTGGCTGTTGGCCATCGACCATCTTGCTGAAGTCCCCGCATTTTTGGCACCAGGGTCTTCTCCATTTTGAAAATTGACGAGGAGAAGACCCTGGGGACGAGGTTGCCTGAACATATTTTGGTGACCTATTTTGGGAACGGCATTCTCTTTTCCACGGCGCAGCAGCGAAGGGAAAAAACTATCTACAAGCAAAGAGACTTTCCCGGGGAGAGTTTCAGCCACGACAGGATTGGGTTTGCTCCGGGAAGTCACGCTGCCCGTGGATATGATTATCATTTCGTTGTGTGACACCCGCCTCGGTTGCAACACACGGATGGTTCGCTGGTGAAGTAGACTACGAGAGGTCCCTCTTTCGCTTAGTCCGTCGAGCGAGACCGTAAATAAACCGCGAGGAAAAAATGGCGGCGTGAAATCTCGCCCCTGGGAATTCGCACGGCCATTTTTTCTCGCGGTTTGTTCTCGCGTCACGCACGAAAAGAGGGGCTACTCTTAGTCTACAGGTGAAATGGGGAGCGTTCGCTTCACGGAGGGGAGCCTCGGACAAGGCAGGTGCCGGCAGGTGGGCGCGGTCATTGCTAGCAAGTATCTACTAGCTGTACAAGGATAATTCTCCCTCCCTTTCCCGTTTGAGGACTTTTGAGTTCTGTAAAAAAATAAGCTCCGGAAGCTGAAGTTTGTGTATGTCTAAGCAGCCCCGAAATGACCAAACTGTTAGGTAAAATCAAGAAGTGCCGTTTTGGAGTAACAATCAGCTATTGCTTCTACATTGTTTTGTTGTTTTGGTTACTCTATGTCATTGGTGATTTTATCAAGGATAAACCAAAACAATTTTTTCTGGTCACCCCATGCAGCTTGCATTGCACAAACATGCTTCACAAAAATGCTGCTTAAAAATGCTGCACATAGTACAAGAAGCCACAAAAATAAAATTTTGAAACGTTTTGTAAATGCCACCTGTATTGATGATTGATATTAAAATGTACAGATTTTTTTGGGGGAAGTGATTTACGAAGAAAAAAGATTCAATCTTGACAGCTGCAATACTTTCATATTTTATCTTGGCAGAATACTCACAAGAATGTGTACAAGATTAGTTTATAAATTTTACACATAAAAGAAGAAAAACATAAAATTGCTTAAATTTACAAGCCCATAAAATTTTATACAGACTCAAATGACAAATGGAACTCTTTCTACAGCCATGTGGGGAAATGGCCTTTGGCATAAGGAATGAAGAAACTTATTTTACATTATTTAAATATTTGGTACTGTCAGTGTAAATACAGTATCCAGTACCATACTGATGTTTTACAGGATTTGTTCAAATTTTAATTCCCCAATAACTGATTACTGTTTCTTACTAATGTACGGAGCCTCGCTATTTTAGTACAAAAGTGTATTAACATTGTTGAAATGCACATTTTGCAGTGTGGTGTGCTTAAAAATCTGTTGTCTCGGAAGAATTCATATACATTGCAAAATAAAACAGCACCTTCTTTAATTCCTAAAAACAGAGCACAAACTTTAATGGAGTATACAAACAAAGCCAGCCCCAGATAAAAAGAACCCAAAAAATGTAAGAAAGGATACCTAAAATTCCTTGTGAAATAAATAGCATATTGAAACTGTACGTAAGTTCTTTTTTTTTTAATTTGTATCACTGGCTTTACTTGCAAACACCTTTAAATACTGTACTTGATCTAACCTACACAAGTTGATTAGGCATGATTTATTTGCACAAGGGTTTCAGAAAGTAAAAGTTAAGACTTTAAACAGAATGGAAAACCTCGTGCACTCTCTAAATACACACAAAACATCTGCATTGTCAACTTGATTTCGACTCTATTTACAAAAAACAAAAACAATTTTGTGCTCTTTTTACAAGGATCAACTCCAGTGCAGGCCCTATGGACAGAAACTTATATTAATATTATTATTAACAGTTCTCATTCAGGAGCCAGGTGTGGAAACTGAAGCCACAGCTCCATCAACAACTGCAGGGCCCGTACTTGTTGAGGTTCCTGAGCCACTAGTACCAGCCCCTCCAGAATTCCTCTGCACATGAGGGGGAATGAGGGTTGAATTTAGTGAAGGTTTGACTGAGAGTTCTGTCAAAAGAATATGAAGAAAAATTTATAATACACACAATTAGCTGAAACAGAAATTGAATGTCGTGCACTACAATGCTGCTCATTAGACCAATGATGGAAACAAAAGCCAATGCACTTTCAACTCTGAGCAAACAAATCATTAAAGGAGTAACTATATTCAATGTGGTTACTATGATTAACTGATGCTGCTTTACCTCGATTGTCAATAAACTAAAAATACAGTCAGACCTCTTCGGAGCATAACTCCCCCATTGTTAGTACTAAGAGATGGACATTGCGAGGAAGTTTCAGCGAGTAAAGTGCGTAAATCAGAGTACAGTCAACAAAAACTCTGGCAATTGTAGAGAAGTGGTTGCTAGAAGAGGTACACGTATGTCACATACCCTGTCATTAGAGGTCACATCACATCACTACAATATTAACATTAACCTAACTTGGTTTGACATTTTGCCATGGTGGACTAGAATTACCTAATTATGTATGAATGCTCTTCCAACAACAAAACCAACCACCAGCTACTACAATTATATGTATTACACCTTGTTTATCACAAATAAAAAGCCAACAAAGTTGAAATACAGAAACGGTAAAGGACTCTTGACTTCAAAAATCCTTCCAGTTATGATAACAAGTTCCAAAACTACAGTTTTATTTGGTGTGAAATAGTGGAAACCCACACATTTGTTGATGACACGGTTTGACTGAAAACACATGAATATGGTATTTATTGAGGTTTATTACCTTGTGGTGTGAAATTAAAAAGTGGGGGTAGATCACGTCCATTTGGAAGTTTTGTATTAGGATCACGGAGTTCATCAAAGAAACAGTGTGCACAAGATTCCACAGGTATAAGCCTTGTTGACGGTGTGTACTCCAGTAATCTACTACACAGGTTAATTGCTTCTGGTGGAGTCTTGGGTCTGAACACCTGTAATTAAAAATTTGCTTTTGCTTACAATCCCAAAGTAAAGTTCACTGAAATGGTGTTTAATAAATATTAATCTACTGCAGAAGCTGACTCGACTAATGACTTTAATCAAATTGTTCTCAAAGTACAGCTTTACCAAAGGTTAAAATCAGCTCAGACTGCTGATTTTCTAGAAGACAAAATATTAATGCCCGAGAACTTTTCCTGTTCACAAGCCCTGGACAAATGACTGAGAACTCTACCCAGCCAACAGAGAATAGAATTTCAAGCATCAAAATGTGAGTAAACAGGCAGATAAAGCCCAGATATAACATAAAATTCTCACAAGAACACCGAAAGAGATGTTACAATTCGGCACAAGATCTAATAACCATTTTTAGTTTATTTTCCTGATAGCTGAACACATTTTTAACTATATGCTTACGACTTTTTGTCATATACTGGACTGGTTCAACTGCTTACACTGAGCATGAAAGGCAAAGAATATCATTTTGTTTAGTTTTACCTTGCTCCAAGGATGAGGCTTAATTTGTGGAAATTTAAACTCTGTGTAGTGTGGGTTCATTTCCTTGATTTGTTCCCTAGTTGGAGTACCTAAGACTTTAATTATTTCGACAAGCTGATCCACACCACTGGCACCTGGAAAGATGGGCTGTCCAAGAAGAAGTTCTGCCAATACACAGCCAGCGGACCAGACATCTAAATCACCACCAACAACAAAAAACAAATTCAACAATGGTATCCAATGAAAGAAAAATAATTTACTCAAAGTGACCAGTATCTTCACTGTCATATGATGAATGCAACCAAAAACTGAACTGATGAAAAGTTTGCCTTCATTACAAAAGACATTTGTTCCATCAACTCTCAAACACATTGATGAAAAAATACATGATAAGTAAAAGTTTGTGCAAAGTAGTCATGCAAGATCCTATATGTAAATTAAGTTTAGTTATTTACTTTTTGAAATGTCACATATTATTGCTTCTATTGTATCTATTACTTACTACTTGTACGAGTGCCATGCTTAAGTCTATTCAAAGGAATCTAACCACAGTCTTTAAAAGACAAGGAAAAGAGAGAGGGTTCACTAACCAATATCGGGTGTGTAGTCAGTGGCGCCAAATATGAGTTCCGGTGCACGATAATATCTTGAACATATGTAGGAAACATTTGGCTCTCCTTTCACTAACACCTTGGCACTGTAAAAAAAAAGATACAATTGAATAACATTCACTGAGCCATGGTTATCATTTAAGTCTACATAAATGGCCAGCAACTACACTGAAGATAACTGGAAAATTAAAGTTTAATAATGATAATGATAATGGTAACGATAACGATNAAAGGACAGGGGTGCTCCTTGTACCTTTTAGGGGTTAAAAAAGCGATTTTGGTACCTCTTAGGGTGTTCAGCCTTACAAGGTCCACAGTGGGAGCTTTTGTGGTACGTTTTAGGATATTGAGCTGAAAAAAAAAAAAAAAAATGACAGGAGCTATGACCTGATTTTTAATTTTGTCCCAGAATTGGTACCTCTTAAGAGTGAAAAAATTTCAAGCCACACCCACAAAGCAGGATCTTGGTACCTCTTAATTAAGGGTTTATTTTTCAAAATTTCTGATGAGCACCCCTGTTCTTTTTATATGAGAGTTTCCCCTTGGTCTTCCCAGTTTACTGAGGTAATGTGAGATAACCTACCTACAATGCTTTGCCCTGGTAAAGGGTCCTTCATTACAGAGACAACAGTTCAGATCCTTGTAACTACTTGCATTAACATGTGAATTGTTTCGAAGGAGTGGTTTAGAAATCAAGGCGTAAGCGTTGAGGAGGCTTCTGGAAAATATTGCACGCAAGTATAACAATAACACCAGAATGAAACCAAGAGAAATGACGATAGAATTGAGGTACGAGTAGAAAGGAGAAACATGCAGAAGATAGAGACTAAAAATACCAACAAGAGATGTTAAACCCCAACTTACAAAGAACCAAGTTTTTTTCCGCTGGTTTAACACGTAGACATAATAAATAAGGATAAACACAGGAACGTAAACCAGTACAAGGACGGTGAAGACGAAGCTAAAGCAAGCAAAGTACAGAGAAATTGCCAGAAAAAGGACAGGGACAAGAGCATCAAACTCCACTTTTATAGCGCCGTTGAACCAAGGGATGCGAATACGATCAGATATCACCGTAGAAATTTCATTCAATTTCTCTCTCGGGACTCGGTTTCCTTTGAGACACTGGTCGACGGCGTTGTCCAGTTCATCACACTCGCAGCAAAATGCAAGGATGTGGGTTCTCTGGCCATGAAGATTGCGGAATTCACAACAACACAGCGGGGAAGGATCTGATATCATTATGAGACCAAGAAATCAGTTCTTTATGTTCCACTAACTCGATGCATTGAATGAAACACTGATACACCGCAGATAACCAAAGTTGTATCGGCATTTTGGCTGTTGGCCATCGACCATCTTGCTGAAGTCCCCGCATTTTTGGCACCAGGGTCTTCTCCATTTTGAAAATTGACGAGGAGAAGACCCTGGGGACGAGGTTGCCTGAACATATTTTGGTGACCTATTTTGGGAACGGCATTCTCTTTTCCACGGCGCAGCAGCGAAGGGAAAAAACTATCTACAAGCAAAGAGACTTTCCCGGGGAGAGTTTCAGCCACGACAGGATTGGGTTTGCTCCGGGAAGTCACGCTGCCCGTGGATATGATTATCATTTCGTTGTGTGACACCCGCCTCGGTTGCAACACACGGATGGTTCGCTGGTGAAGTAGACTACGAGAGGTCCCTCTTTCGCTTAGTCCGTCGAGCGAGACCGTAAATAAACCGCGAGGAAAAAATGGCGGCGTGAAATCTCGCCCCTGGGAATTCGCACGGCCATTTTTTCTCGCGGTTTGTTCTCGCGTCACGCACGAAAAGAGGGGCTACTCTTAGTCTACAGGTGAAATGGGGAGCGTTCGCTTCACGGAGGGGAGCCTCGGACAAGGCAGGTGCCGGCAGGTGGGCGCGGTCATTGCTAGCAAGTATCTACTAGCTGTACAAGGATAATTCTCCCTCCCTTTCCCGTTTGAGGACTTTTGAGTTCTGTAAAAAAATAAGCTCCGGAAGCTGAAGTTTGTGTATGTCTAAGCAGCCCCGAAATGACCAAACTGTTAGGTAAAATCAAGAAGTGCCGTTTTGGAGTAACAATCAGCTATTGCTTCTACATTGTTTTGTTGTTTTGGTTACTCTATGTCATTGGTGATTTTATCAAGGATAAACCAAAACAATTTTTTCTGGTCACCCCATGCAGCTTGCATTGCACAAACATGCTTCACAAAAATGCTGCTTAAAAATGCTGCACATAGTACAAGAAGCCACAAAAATAAAATTTTGAAACGTTTTGTAAATGCCACCTGTATTGATGATTGATATTAAAATGTACAGATTTTTTTGGGGGAAGTGATTTACGAAGAAAAAAGATTCAATCTTGACAGCTGCAATACTTTCATATTTTATCTTGGCAGAATACTCACAAGAATGTGTACAAGATTAGTTTATAAATTTTACACATAAAAGAAGAAAAACATAAAATTGCTTAAATTTACAAGCCCATAAAATTTTATACAGACTCAAATGACAAATGGAACTCTTTCTACAGCCATGTGGGGAAATGGCCTTTGGCATAAGGAATGAAGAAACTTATTTTACATTATTTAAATATTTGGTACTGTCAGTGTAAATACAGTATCCAGTACCATACTGATGTTTTACAGGATTTGTTCAAATTTTAATTCCCCAATAACTGATTACTGTTTCTTACTAATGTACGGAGCCTCGCTATTTTAGTACAAAAGTGTATTAACATTGTTGAAATGCACATTTTGCAGTGTGGTGTGCTTAAAAATCTGTTGTCTCGGAAGAATTCATATACATTGCAAAATAAAACAGCACCTTCTTTAATTCCTAAAAACAGAGCACAAACTTTAATGGAGTATACAAACAAAGCCAGCCCCAGATAAAAAGAACCCAAAAAATGTAAGAAAGGATACCTAAAATTCCTTGTGAAATAAATAGCATATTGAAACTGTACGTAAGTTCTTTTTTTTTTAATTTGTATCACTGGCTTTACTTGCAAACACCTTTAAATACTGTACTTGATCTAACCTACACAAGTTGATTAGGCATGATTTATTTGCACAAGGGTTTCAGAAAGTAAAAGTTAAGACTTTAAACAGAATGGAAAACCTCGTGCACTCTCTAAATACACACAAAACATCTGCATTGTCAACTTGATTTCGACTCTATTTACAAAAAACAAAAACAATTTTGTGCTCTTTTTACAAGGATCAACTCCAGTGCAGGCCCTATGGACAGAAACTTATATTAATATTATTATTAACAGTTCTCATTCAGGAGCCAGGTGTGGAAACTGAAGCCACAGCTCCATCAACAACTGCAGGGCCCGTACTTGTTGAGGTTCCTGAGCCACTAGTACCAGCCCCTCCAGAATTCCTCTGCACATGAGGGGGAATGAGGGTTGAATTTAGTGAAGGTTTGACTGAGAGTTCTGTCAAAAGAATATGAAGAAAAATTTATAATACACACAATTAGCTGAAACAGAAATTGAATGTCGTGCACTACAATGCTGCTCATTAGACCAATGATGGAAACAAAAGCCAATGCACTTTCAACTCTGAGCAAACAAATCATTAAAGGAGTAACTATATTCAATGTGGTTACTATGATTAANGTCATCGTGTTGTGTTCTTGGACAAGACACTTTACTCTCACAGTGCCTCTCTCCAGCCAGGTGTACAAATGGGTATCAGCGAATTTAATGCTGGGAGTAACCCTACGATGGACTAGCATCCCATCCAGGGAGGAGTAGAAATACTCCTGGTCGCTTCACGCTACAGAAACTGGGATAAGCTCTGGCCTGATGGGCCACTTGGTTCATATGCAGACTTTACCTATCGATTGCAATTCTTGTTAATTTTCTCTATCCTTATGCATCTTTGTTCCTTTATGGTTTATTATTTTCTCTTTAGTGTTTTTCTATCTCAGTGAACTATTATTTTCAGGTTTCCTTCAGTATTATAAAAGTAATTTTGTGTGTTTGCCAAAGTAACTCAATATACTGTGACTGAGCTCCTTTAATTAAGTTACCTTTACACTTCACGGTTTGAGATTTGTGCACTTCAGAGAAACAAGATCAAGTTTCACAAGGCTTATAATGGGTAAATTACAAAGATGACAACATGCTATTGTAACAGTCACATAACATGATGTGAAAGAAAACCTACCTAGAATCTGAATAGACATTTGAACAATCCATATAGAGAACACTACTGTCCAGAGATGTACAAACAGTGAGGAAAGAAAGATAAATTCCCCAAAGTCCTGTTACGATGAATATCGTGATAGCTGCAAGGAATGAACGGTGATTGTGCTGTCCAATGCAACTGTTTGTCCTGCATTCATTCAGAAAAAAAGAAAATAACTGTAAAATCAAAACCTCTTTACACTGTGATGTATAATTTTTTTTATAGTGAGCACCTGATAGTCTTTGACTGAACTCTTCTGCTACGTGGGTTCCAGTATTTTAATTTGAACAATCAAAATCTAAAGAGCTTACATGTAAGAGTTGAGTTCATGTGGCAAGAGTTAGATTTACCATAATGGCAGTTGACATGAAACTTTGAATTTACATGTACTTCATGTCAGTAGTTGCAAAATGTTACATTTTGTGATGTCTTACATGAAACAAAAAAAACGTAAACAAACTATTGAGAGTGCGCAGTATGGACTGGATATCATCTTTACAGGGCAGTGGTATAACATAAACTAATGTAATGACCAAGACTGATCTCTCTTTTTCTTTGAAATTCCTGAAGAACAAATGCATGGGCACTAGGACATAAGAAATGTCTTCTGGTACCCACTTGACTTGGGAAAGACAATTTCCATTTTCTGGTGCCCATGTTTTTCCAGCTCATATTGCATCTTGCTATTTCATGTCAGAAGCCTCTCATAGACTTAAGCAAAAAGACTAGTATATACCTGTTACTGACTGAGTAAAAGGTCTGTACTGTAAGTTATGGACTGAGACTTTTTCTCTTTGATTTATGGTTTAAGTGTGAAGCACACTGGCCATGAATTGAAGGGGAGAAAATGAGAATCCACAATTTACAGTGTGGACCAACAAGATGAGGTTAGTAACTTAAGATATTTATAATTACTTATTGCGTAGGCAGGAGTGTTTCACTGTAAATTCACTACTTTTTTAAAATTCAAACAAAATTACATCTGGAACTTGAGTTTCATGTCTTCCATGTCCTTACTAGTAAGGATATTGATGACCACATTTCCTGCTTTTTCACAGTTCTTTGTGCAAACAGTCAGTTTGCCTATATAATAAAACAAAAATTACATGGCAGCTAGTTGAAGATGGGAATTTTATTTTCTCATGTTAAAACAACATTGTGTATTTGTTTGAGCCACACATTTTATTCTCTTGCAATGCTTGTTCTCAAAATATTGTTTTATCCACTCGAAAATAAAATTCATATATTCACATTACTGTGTAAAATATCCTCATTTATCACTTACCAAACACAGTGATGGTCTGATCTTGGAACACAGTAGCCACAAATCCTACCAGAGGAGAAGAAAATATAATTCACAGTTTTTTGTAAAAAATGAAATTCAATTTAATTTGCTTTTGATTAACTATAATATAATAACTCAGGGTGATTTCAGATAGAGAGCAAGAACTTTTTGCCCTGTATGGTATCACTGAGAAATATCTGCCTCAAATATTAGAAACAATCATGACAGCATATTCAGCCATCAGCAATCAGGGATACTTTTTTACAAACATGAGGTGGCAGAGGGAGGGTAATCTGGACCCCAGGCATCTCCTCTAGAATTACCGCAGATTGTGAACTCTCAGAACCACAGACGTCAACCTAAAAAAAATTGAAATCTGGAAGATCGCCAAGTTTACCTTCTTGACCCTAAAAAACATTGTTAACAGTAAAGCCCCTCTGATTCAGCCACAAAAATGTGTCAAATATTCCAAATTTTTCCCTTGAAAAAGGCCAAAAATCAGCCAAAATTAGAACTTTCCTGCAAATCTGGGAGACTTGGTGAACAGCTAAATATGTAAACAAATTACTTTTGTTAACTATTCACCTATCTTTCAGCTCTACCTTAAAGCCAACTTCCAAAGGATATAAAAGGTGTCCTGGAAACCAGGGCTTCAGGTACTGCACATTTATCATAAAAGTTCCATGGACTAGCACAGTGTTTACAAAGAAGGGATGAACAGTACTGTACTTACAAAATGTCTCCCAAAAAATGTACAGACAAGGATGTAAGCGTTGGAGGATGGCACCTGATACTCAGCCATAGTTTTCTTGCCAAAGTAGATTACTGTCTTCCCTCCCAGGAGGGGAGACTCCTATATATAAAGGACAGAGGTGCTGGTTGTACCTTTTAGGGGTTAAAAATGCAATTTTGGTACCTCTTAGGGTGTTCAGCCTTACAAGGTCCACAGTGGGAGCTTTTGTGGTACGTTTTAGGATATCGAGCTGAAAAAAAAAAAAAAAAAAAAAAAAAAAAAAAAATGACAGGAGCTACGATCTGATTTTTAATTTTGTCCCAGAATTGGTACCTCTTAGGGGTGAAACAATTTCAAGCCACACCCACACACCAGGATCTTGGTACCTCTTAATTAAGCGTTTTTTTTCAAAATTTCTGATGAGCACCCCTGTTCTTTTTATAGGAGAGTCCCCCCTTGGTCTTCCCATTTTACTGAGATAATGTGAGATAACCTACCTACAATGCTTTGCCCTGGTAAAGGGTCCTTCAGTACAGAGACAACAGTTCAGATCCTTGTAACTACTTGCATTAACATGTGAATTGTTTCGAAGGAGTGGTTTAGAAATCAAGGCGTAAGCGTTGAGGAGGCTTCTGGAAAATATTGCACGCAAGTATAACAATAACACCAGAATGAAACCAAGAGAAATGACGATAGAATTGAGGTACGAGTAGAAAGGAGAAACATGCAGAAGATAGAGACTAAAAATACCAACAAGAGATGTTAAACCCCAACTTACAAAGAACCAAGTTTTTTTCCGCTGGTTTAACACGTAGACATAATAAATAAGGATAAACACAGGAACGTAAACCAGTACAAGGACGGTGAAGACGAAGCTAAAGCAAGCAAAGTACAGAGAAATTGCCAGAAAAAGGACAGGGACAAGAGCATCAAACTCCACTTTTATAGCGCCGTTGAACCAAGGGATGCGAATACGATCAGATATCACCGTAGAAATTTCATTCAATTTCTCTCTCGGGACTCGGTTTCCTTTGAGACACTGGTCGACGGCGTTGTCCAGTTCATCACACTCGCAGCAAAATGCAAGGATGTGGGTTCTCTGGCCATGAAGATTGCGGAATTCACAACAACACAGCGGGGAAGGATCTGATATCATTATGAGACCAAGAAATCAGTTCTTTATGTTCCACTAACTCGATGCATTGAATGAAACACTGATACACCGCAGATAACCAAAGTTGTATCGGCATTTTGGCTGTTGGCCATCGACCATCTTGCTGAAGTCCCCGCATTTTTGGCACCAGGGTCTTCTCCATTTTGAAAATTGACGAGGAGAAGACCCTGGGGACGAGGTTGCCTGAACATATTTTGGTGACCTATTTTGGGAACGGCATTCTCTTTTCCACGGCGCAGCAGCGAAGGGAAAAAACTATCTACAAGCAAAGAGACTTTCCCGGGGAGAGTTTCAGCCACGACAGGATTGGGTTTGCTCCGGGAAGTCACGCTGCCCGTGGATATGATTATCATTTCGTTGTGTGACACCCGCCTCGGTTGCAACACACGGATGGTTCGCTGGTGAAGTAGACTACGAGAGGTCCCTCTTTCGCTTAGTCCGTCGAGCGAGACCGTAAATAAACCGCGAGGAAAAAATGGCGGCGTGAAATCTCGCCCCTGGGAATTCGCACGGCCATTTTTTCTCGCGGTTTGTTCTCGCGTCACGCACGAAAAGAGGGGCTACTCTTAGTCTACAGGTGAAATGGGGAGCGTTCGCTTCACGGAGGGGAGCCTCGGACAAGGCAGGTGCCGGCAGGTGGGCGCGGTCATTGCTAGCAAGTATCTACTAGCTGTACAAGGATAATTCTCCCTCCCTTTCCCGTTTGAGGACTTTTGAGTTCTGTAAAAAAATAAGCTCCGGAAGCTGAAGTTTGTGTATGTCTAAGCAGCCCCGAAATGACCAAACTGTTAGGTAAAATCAAGAAGTGCCGTTTTGGAGTAACAATCAGCTATTGCTTCTACATTGTTTTGTTGTTTTGGTTACTCTATGTCATTGGTGATTTTATCAAGGATAAACCAAAACAATTTTTTCTGGTCACCCCATGCAGCTTGCATTGCACAAACATGCTTCACAAAAATGCTGCTTAAAAATGCTGCACATAGTACAAGAAGCCACAAAAATAAAATTTTGAAACGTTTTGTAAATGCCACCTGTATTGATGATTGATATTAAAATGTACAGATTTTTTTGGGGGAAGTGATTTACGAAGAAAAAAGATTCAATCTTGACAGCTGCAATACTTTCATATTTTATCTTGGCAGAATACTCACAAGAATGTGTACAAGATTAGTTTATAAATTTTACACATAAAAGAAGAAAAACATAAAATTGCTTAAATTTACAAGCCCATAAAATTTTATACAGACTCAAATGACAAATGGAACTCTTTCTACAGCCATGTGGGGAAATGGCCTTTGGCATAAGGAATGAAGAAACTTATTTTACATTATTTAAATATTTGGTACTGTCAGTGTAAATACAGTATCCAGTACCATACTGATGTTTTACAGGATTTGTTCAAATTTTAATTCCCCAATAACTGATTACTGTTTCTTACTAATGTACGGAGCCTCGCTATTTTAGTACAAAAGTGTATTAACATTGTTGAAATGCACATTTTGCAGTGTGGTGTGCTTAAAAATCTGTTGTCTCGGAAGAATTCATATACATTGCAAAATAAAACAGCACCTTCTTTAATTCCTAAAAACAGAGCACAAACTTTAATGGAGTATACAAACAAAGCCAGCCCCAGATAAAAAGAACCCAAAAAATGTAAGAAAGGATACCTAAAATTCCTTGTGAAATAAATAGCATATTGAAACTGTACGTAAGTTCTTTTTTTTTTAATTTGTATCACTGGCTTTACTTGCAAACACCTTTAAATACTGTACTTGATCTAACCTACACAAGTTGATTAGGCATGATTTATTTGCACAAGGGTTTCAGAAAGTAAAAGTTAAGACTTTAAACAGAATGGAAAACCTCGTGCACTCTCTAAATACACACAAAACATCTGCATTGTCAACTTGATTTCGACTCTATTTACAAAAAACAAAAACAATTTTGTGCTCTTTTTACAAGGATCAACTCCAGTGCAGGCCCTATGGACAGAAACTTATATTAATATTATTATTAACAGTTCTCATTCAGGAGCCAGGTGTGGAAACTGAAGCCACAGCTCCATCAACAACTGCAGGGCCCGTACTTGTTGAGGTTCCTGAGCCACTAGTACCAGCCCCTCCAGAATTCCTCTGCACATGAGGGGGAATGAGGGTTGAATTTAGTGAAGGTTTGACTGAGAGTTCTGTCAAAAGAATATGAAGAAAAATTTATAATACACACAATTAGCTGAAACAGAAATTGAATGTCGTGCACTACAATGCTGCTCATTAGACCAATGATGGAAACAAAAGCCAATGCACTTTCAACTCTGAGCAAACAAATCATTAAAGGAGTAACTATATTCAATGTGGTTACTATGATTAACTGATGCTGCTTTACCTCGATTGTCAATAAACTAAAAATACAGTCAGACCTCTTCGGAGCATAACTCCCCCATTGTTAGTACTAAGAGATGGACATTGCGAGGAAGTTTCAGCGAGTAAAGTGCGTAAATCAGAGTACAGTCAACAAAAACTCTGGCAATTGTAGAGAAGTGGTTGCTAGAAGAGGTACACGTATGTCACATACCCTGTCATTAGAGGTCACATCACATCACTACAATATTAACATTAACCTAACTTGGTTTGACATTTTGCCATGGTGGACTAGAATTACCTAATTATGTATGAATGCTCTTCCAACAACAAAACCAACCACCAGCTACTACAATTATATGTATTACACCTTGTTTATCACAAATAAAAAGCCAACAAAGTTGAAATACAGAAACGGTAAAGGACTCTTGACTTCAAAAATCCTTCCAGTTATGATAACAAGTTCCAAAACTACAGTTTTATTTGGTGTGAAATAGTGGAAACCCACACATTTGTTGATGACACGGTTTGACTGAAAACACATGAATATGGTATTTATTGAGGTTTATTACCTTGTGGTGTGAAATTAAAAAGTGGGGGTAGATCACGTCCATTTGGAAGTTTTGTATTAGGATCACGGAGTTCATCAAAGAAACAGTGTGCACAAGATTCCACAGGTATAAGCCTTGTTGACGGTGTGTACTCCAGTAATCTACTACACAGGTTAATTGCTTCTGGTGGAGTCTTGGGTCTGAACACCTGTAATTAAAAATTTGCTTTTGCTTACAATCCCAAAGTAAAGTTCACTGAAATGGTGTTTAATAAATATTAATCTACTGCAGAAGCTGACTCGACTAATGACTTTAATCAAATTGTTCTCAAAGTACAGCTTTACCAAAGGTTAAAATCAGCTCAGACTGCTGATTTTCTAGAAGACAAAATATTAATGCCCGAGAACTTTTCCTGTTCACAAGCCCTGGACAAATGACTGAGAACTCTACCCAGCCAACAGAGAATAGAATTTCAAGCATCAAAATGTGAGTAAACAGGCAGATAAAGCCCAGATATAACATAAAATTCTCACAAGAACACCGAAAGAGATGTTACAATTCGGCACAAGATCTAATAACCATTTTTAGTTTATTTTCCTGATAGCTGAACACATTTTTAACTATATGCTTACGACTTTTTGTCATATACTGGACTGGTTCAACTGCTTACACTGAGCATGAAAGGCAAAGAATATCATTTTGTTTAGTTTTACCTTGCTCCAAGGATGAGGCTTAATTTGTGGAAATTTAAACTCTGTGTAGTGTGGGTTCATTTCCTTGATTTGTTCCCTAGTTGGAGTACCTAAGACTTTAATTATTTCGACAAGCTGATCCACACCACTGGCACCTGGAAAGATGGGCTGTCCAAGAAGAAGTTCTGCCAATACACAGCCAGCGGACCAGACATCTAAATCACCACCAACAACAAAAAACAAATTCAACAATGGTATCCAATAAAAGAAAAATAATTTACTCAAAGTGACCAGTATCTTCACTGTCATATGATGAATGCAACCAAAAACTGAACTGATGAAAAGTTTGCCTTCATTACAAAAGACATTTGTTCCATCAACTCTCAAACACATTGATGAAAAAATACATGATAAGTAAAAGTTTGTGCAAAGTAGTCATGCAAGATCCTATATGTAAATTAAGTTTAGTTATTTACTTTTTGAAATGTCACATATTATTGCTTCTATTGTATCTATTACTTACTACTTGTACGAGTGCCATGCTTAAGTCTATTCAAAGGAATCTAACCACAGTCTTTAAAAGACAAGGAAAAGAGAGAGGGTTCACTAACCAATATCGGGTGTGTAGTCAGTGGCGCCAAATATGAGTTCCGGTGCACGATAATATCTTGAACATATGTAGGAAACATTTGGCTCTCCTTTCACTAACACCTTGGCACTGTAAAAAAAAAGATACAATTGAATAACATTCACTGAGCCATGGTTATCATTTAAGTCTACATAAATGGCCAGCAACTACACTGAAGATAACTGGAAAATTAAAGTTTAATAATGATAATGATAATGGTAACGATAACGATAACGATAACGATAATAATGATAATGATCATGAAAATAAAAACAGTTACAACCACTGGAAGCCAAACTGAAATTATGACGGCCTATTTTTGTTGTTTAGCTTAGGTACAACTAATCGTAACCTTAGGTACAACTAATCATTCCCTTCAGGACAGAGCTGTGCTCTAGAAGAGCCCGGGTGCCACAGGTGACTAACTTTTGCCTTTGGGCAACTGGAAAACATATTTTATTCTTATATGCTTTTGTGCCAGGCACCCAAGGATTTCATGGTTAGAAACCTTCGGACTCCTTTTAATTTTTTTTAGACCACAGCCTTGCTTCAGGAAGTACATAATAATAAACTAAAAATGTTCTCACAACCATCCCCCCTACCTGCCAAAATCACACAACTTCAGCACAGCAGTTTCTGGATCAAGAAGTAAATTCTGTGGTTTGATGTCACGATGGCATATACCAACGGAGTGGATATAAGCCAGGGAACGAAACATCTGATACATGTAGAGCTGATTACAAAACACAAAATAATAATAATAATAAAAAAAGTTAAGGGGTGAAAATTCCCAGAGAAAACATTTAACATAAGCCAACAGATCATCACAAAACAATTTTTTTTTTTACCAAGAGGTATCACCACTGTTTTTACATTCTACCGTGCCTAGTGATCACCTTTCTGGTCAAAGTTTTACTCATGAGAAAAAAAAAAGATCACCGTTAATTTAACAGCTATTGTTGCATATAATATTTCTTATCCATCAAGACTTAACTTATTTAATATGTTCATATTAATTTTGTGTTTGCTATTCATAACTTGAGAATTTGATCATTTACCTCAAACAAACTTCTGCTCAACTGATGCAGAGCTTTAAATAAAAACTCACTAATGTTGGCAATTAGGTTTGAAAATAAAAATTTCCAATGCTGAACTGGTAGGATAAAACCCACAATTATATCATATTATTTAATTTTACCCAACTTACCTTGATATACAATATGGGAATGGTTTGCTTTGCTTTACTGTAGTGCCTAGCTACTCTATAAACAGTTTCCGGAACAAAATCAAGAACCAAATTTAAATAGATTTCTTCTTTCTGAAAAGTTAATAAAAGAAAAACAATGCATTATTTGATTTGTTCATTAAATTTGATACAACTGTTTGCATAAATTGAAATATCTTGAAACAGTTCTACATTTTGTAATAAATGCTAAATATTTGGCAAATACAAAGTGATTTTACTTGTTTAGGCAGCATCCACACTACCCAGGAGAAATTTGACAACACAGCTATATGTGAATTTCTACAGTTAGGCCTACTGTCCACACTAACCGTCAAGAAAACGGAGCTTTTCAAAAACGTTCATCAAACCAGAGGAATTTGAAAAAGCCGGATTTTGGTTTTTGTGTGAACAGAACAGAACAGAAGATATTTTGAAAACGGAGCTTTTCGAAGACCATGGTGTCATGATAATCATGTGACTTCCCTAACTGAGGTTTCCTCAAACACAAATCCAAAATAACCACTGATTGTCGCGTTTTTTAAAATGTTCCCGACATTTCATGCGTTTTCAGAGTGAAGCCTCCATTATCAAATTCCTCCAGCGTAGTGTGGACAGGGCCTTAATGTACAGATAACTCTTGACAGCAGTTGAATGCAGCACCACTAAAAAGTGACACTTATTATCATTTGCAAATGCTCAAGAACTAAATGTGGCTAAAAGCTGTTTGCAGGTGGAAAGTTTCACACTTTTCCAGCTGATAAGGAAAGCAATCTGGTCTACCACAACAAATTGCTCAATAAGATAACTTCTAATCAATTATGCTTCCATAGACATCAGTTACATGAAATGGTGCATTTTCCACAAAAATATCCTTATCTAAGATCCAGAACTATTAACAAAATCAAAAGCAAAAATCAAAGTAATATGTTGTGGTGAATCAAGTCTGCTGGAAACCTTAGTGGTTTGATAAATCAACACACTAAAAATCAAAACAACAAGGAAAAAAGAAACAACACTTAAAAATTTACTTATTTCCTACAGGGTTAACTGTTTAATGTAGAATTAAGACTATTATTAAAATTTTTATTGTGTTGAAGTGTGAAATGAGGTTATTTAAATACAAGATCAGTGGAAACAAAAGAAGTAAATTTCACTCAGAGATGAGCTAAGTAACCCATTAAATTAACTGTGACAAAAAATTATCCTTGATGTTTAATCTGACATCAAAGAAAACAAATTCAATTGCAGATAACAGTTATAAGTACTATAATAACACCAAATGAAAGTGGTTGAACTGAACATTTTTTTACTGGAATATTTCCTGCACAGAGAGTGGTAAACTTGCAATCAATTGTGTTATTCTGCACATCGAGTGCCATTGCCTTTAGCTATTGGCTAAAGGGAAAGTCTCAAAGGAACATGGAAAGCTTCTTCAATGCATGATTAGACGGGACTACAGCAAAAAAAATCATCACAATCATTCAAGGCTTAACCAGGCTTACTAACAAACCTTGCCAACTTTTCCAGTTTTAAAAAGTACTCTCTTTATAAAAAGGAAATTAGCCAGTAGCCGGCTACATGTATTAGTCACATTCCTGTTAGTCATCAAATTGTTTAAAGCTTAGTAACTGAGTAACAGCTGCATTTGATCTTCGCACTAGTTAGTCTGTCCTATGTGCCCCGTGCACAACGTAGATTATTACCTTCCGTGCGGCAAGCAGCACAAGTGATTTTGTTAGATTCTAAAGTAAGTGCGAGAGGAGTTGATTCTCAACAAACGAGGACTTCACCTGTTCTCTACTATTGATCCCAGACATCCTTTGAAATGGCTTTTTTTTCCAGGCCTGTTGGTTTCATTCACGTGATTCAAAATAAGTGACGGTGTGATGATGAATTCATGATCGTGTGATGAGTGAATCTGTCATCGAGAAAGTTGCTTCACAGTTTGTTTGCAAGTTTGTTGAGTTTCGCATTTTCTAACAAGATGCAATCCAAGATATGTTACAGAGAAGAGTTCAACAGATGCAAAATCTATCACATGGATAAGATTTGCCTTGAACTTGGAACTTTTGAGGAATTTGCAATCGCTGTGCTGCCACGGGTGTGCTGCAAACTTTGACCATCCGCGTCAAGATGTTTATTGTCATGTGATCACTTTTTAAATCATGTGAATGAAACCAACGGTACATGAAACAACCTGAAAAAAAGCCATTTCAAAAGATGTCTGGGATCAATAGTATGCTAAGTTTTAGCATGCTGACAAGTTTGATTAAGGTCATTCCTCACATTTGCATTTGCGCTCGTGCACGCGCACATTGAAAACATGACGGATTTGCCTTGATATTGAGCTCTGTCAGTTGAAAAATGGTTCTAGCTCACCAACGAGCACGGGCACGCCAATTTTTTTTTCCACTCATTGTAATCAACTAATCATAAGCTTTGCGTGAGATACGACTGATCTAATTTCTATTGCTGAAAATTGAATAAATAAGAAAAATAGCAGATGCATGGTGGTCTTTTCTATTTGGCAGTCGGTAACCACGTCAAGAAATTTGGTTCAAATTTTTAACCAAGGATTTAGCTTTCTGTCTGAATCAAACTTAAAACGTTTATTTGTGTCCGACACAATGTATTGACTGTAGTTTAATGCGTGTTCTTATGAGTCCTGGCTCACAAAGATGTTACAATTACTGGGAATGCGTTCTTATAATAAGCATTAAATAATGCCAAAATGGGGCATTTTCAATGCCTCACTGCTCCTTAATGAGCATGGACACCTCCCTTTTTTATTTCAAAATTGAAGTTATCATATGACAAATATTCAGTGGACAAAGTTTGAAGAAAAATCTATTGTCACTTTTATTTCAGAGGAATTACCTTAAGTAATGGTATTCAGATAAGGGCTTTGTGCATTTATCATGGGTGTGTCATTTCAGTGCAATTGAAAATCTCATAAAAAATAAGCAAAATAGAGGGGAAATATGACCATGAACTTGTTATTTTCTATCATTCTGGGAAAGTGCCTCATATTTAGATAGAAAATTTATTTCAGGAGAGAAGTCAAGCTTGTTACGAAAGTCTGCCAGGAAAAGTAACAGGGCTCCCATACGATCTTACCACTACTGCTTGCAGAACAGAGCATGAAATAATCAAGAGCTTAGAGTTCAGAAAATGTTTCATGATTAAATAACGCAACTAGGGCATTACTCCTTGAAATCCAAAGATTCCATGGAAGTGAGCTTGTTTTCATATCAATTTTGTGTGAAGATCGATGATGTGACATTATGTCACATTACGCAAATTTGGTAGCAAGCAACTCTATATGAAGTGCTGAGTGATGGATCCTTGACACCGTGATTACAAGTTTACTCCTTTTAGCCAAGGGAAATTTTCCATTTCTGGACAAATGGGGAATTCAGTTTCTCAAAAGAAGTCCACAATCTTCTTTATATATCTTTCCCCCAGGTTGCAATGTTGCATTTGGATGTTTTCAAATCCCCTGGCACCTGCTTCAGTGAAGATGCTATCAGAGCTAATAAGGGCTAAGGTACCTGACCTAGACCAAACAAAAAGGTTTTCAAATGTAACGATAACCAAAATTTAACCTCAAACATACCTCTAAAGTGATATCAAAGCAAGGGGCTTCATGAAATACACAGAAGTATTAGCAAGTTGAAAGTTGCATATGAAGGAGAGAGTCTCTACCTTTGTTCTAAAAGCGTACATGTAATCATGATGAAATGTGATATATAGCATGTAAAATGACATTTAGCCCATACAGTAGCTACACTTCTGATGGTATTCTCCTTGATTATGACAAATTACATATAGCTGTCAAATAACATCAACTTTTTTTTCAAATAACATCAATTTTTTTTTCCTTTTTCAAAAGTGAGTAAATTATCCTAAACTCCAAAAAAGAGAACATTCAGAATTACTGTTTGTTAAAAATACCCAATGAAAGGATCGTTGAGAATCTTAAGATGGCCTGTTTGAACATGAATGTTCTGTTTCTTGAGAGGAACACGAGTATTTAACTTGTTATGACATAAACATCAAGGTCATTACATTGTTTGTTCTCATTCTCATGTTAACAGGTAGTCTGGTACATTCTTGAACAAATTTCCCTAAATAAAGTACATAAAAGGGACTATATTTTACTGCTGGGTATAACTTTGCAGGTATACTCCATGGACAAAATGATATTGAAGGCAAACAAACATTTACATTTATGCTGGCATTTAAAAACCAAATTGGTATTACAGTGGATAAAAAATTCATTCAATTGCATTTTAAGCTGAACACTTCTGGGCTAAGCTCATGGAATATTATCTACGCAAATGTGTATTAGGCTACCGAACAGCAAGAGCTGTTGTTCCTGGTTGAGGGAATTGATATAAAAACAGTGTACTAAGGGTTGGAAAAATGTGACATCTCACAATGCCTACATAATTTTTGAATATAAAGTTCAATTTAAAACCAAATTCAAAGTTTTCTCTCTCTCTCTCTGAATTTCCTTCAGTTTCAATTTGTAAATTAAAACAACAATATTTTCTAAAAACTCCTTTTCAAAAATTCACCATAAAACGTTTACACTGATCAGACTCTGAAATATTAAAATCAACATGAACGAAAACTACACAGACCTGACCCAAAGGACATCTTTCATAAACCTTTAAATTAAAATTCAATCAAACAGGTGTTGTACAGGAAATATAACTGCAAACCCATCCGTGACAAAGTTATAAACAGGCAATTGGTGGCAGGAATACAGTTGTGAAGACGATGATATTTTTCAGACAAATCCTTGTTCAAGATCACGCTTGCCAAAAAAAAAAAGAAATAGTGAAGCAACGGACGATACTCGGGTGAGAAAAATTAGAGAGTATGATTCAAATGTAAACAGATTATTCGAGAAAATATGAAGTGAGAAAAATCTAAAAGATGAAATAACGCAGCAGAGAAATATTGAAAGCTTGCCGTGCCTTAAAGGTAAAAGAAGCGTGGTTTTGAAAAAAAGCAAACTTGTTTTCGCCTCGAGGGAGGGTACATTTTTAAAAAAGTAAAAATTTCAAATGACGCTTTGTTCGCTCTTGCCTTCGTGTCGTTTACACAATGATATCGTCCGTTGTCCAGTTTTCTAATATGTTAAAACTACTTTGAATAGAATGCTAGTTTTAGTGAATTAAAACAATCAGTGTCCTTACTCCCACGTAGGAGGCTAAATTTAATACCAACGTACGGCAAACAACACGACATAACCGGTAGACCCGGCTACATTTCAATGGTGCAAGATATTCAAGCTTGAATATCTCGCCCGAAAAAACAACACACTGTCTTGCACAATATTAAAAAAGAATTACTAACCTTCTCTCCACTGGAATAAAAGAACCATCGTAATCTGACGATATTGCAGTGGTCTAATTTTCTCATTATTTGCAACTCGCGATTCTGAAACGAAAAAAAAAAATGTTGCCATTATCGATGATGAATTTTCGGCATTTTAATTTTTATGACGGCGAATAACGTAGGAAATATCCGGGTATATATGTCGTGCGGTGACAAGGCAACAAACGAAACTACATTTACCTTAAATCGTTTGTCTTGTAATACTTTCTTTATCGCCACAAGCTCGGTGGAATCGCACATCCTGGCTTGATACACAACTCCAAAAGAGCCATTCCCAATAACTTTCGTGTCAGTATAACTGATCTCTTGCGTCCGATCAGGCAATGAACCTGTTGTTGCTACGACTGTTGTGACTTTGCTTCCATCTTTATCGCCTACAAAACGAAAAGTTAAACTAGAAATGGGCCCCAAAGAATTTCATTACACTTTTCAGGTACGAATACTGGCGGTTTTATACCCCCAAACACCTTGAATATTGGGTTATGTGATACAAAGTGTATACTCACGACTTATTTTTACTCCTCCAAAATTAGGCGGATGTGACTTAGATTCGGCAAGCGACGTCGTTCTAGGTCTGCCGCTCATGATTGTAAAATTTCTGATGTAGATGAACCCGAAGGATCACCGGACCATTACATCTCCGTCGTCAGCTTATATTCAACATGGAGAGTTGCTTTCAAGCCACCTTACGCCGTAAAATGATTTGTGGAAATGGTCCTGAAACTGCACGTTTCTCCGGTCATTTAGGGCCAAATTATTTGCTTGTCGCTTCAGGAGTTCCTGCAGAGGATGCCAGACCACCGATCAAATAGTTCAAGGTACGACAACCACCGTTTCAACCAACGGGAAAAGAACCAAAGGCAAATGACACTCAAAATTCACAATGGCGCTTGCTACTGCAGGCATGTGCCGTTTAGGGGGCCCCCAACGAAGTTTGTTCAATGTTGTTAGCCAATGGCAACGGTGACGAAACAATCCGAAGTAATGGCGACGCCTTCCGAAGTCTTGACGTGTTTTGAGCAATAGAAAGGATATCATGAGATGAAGCGAACTATAAGAGATTTATTTGCGTAAATGTTCATAAATCCTTTCTTGACCTTCAGAAAGCTTATTGGCTTGTCAAAAGTAATTTAACGCTGCTAAACAACTCAAAACAAGAAAAAAACGAGGACAAACCGAAGACGACACCAATCCTGACTCAGCGGACTTCCACAAAATAGCGGGAATTCAACATGGCGGTCGAGTATGAACTTTTTCAGTATTTTTGGTTTTCTTTATTGGCCCAGATTACCTGAGTTTACTTTGTGTTTGCTTTATTAGCAGGCAAGGAGAGAACGAAGCTGCAAACACGATTTCCATTCTTGTTGGTGGGTATATCTTTCTTCTCCGTTGCCAAACTGTAGTTGTCAGACTTAACAGTGACGCGCGTACTATTCTGCTTCATTAATCTATCATAATTTGTGAAATTGAACCACTAATTACGCGCTAATTACCATAAATCATTGCATCCATTTTTAGCATCAGACTGCCATCTTGGGTATATGGAAAAAGATCAGGTTCGAGGGAATGATTCACTGGTAACATTCGAGGAAATACTACAAATAGCTAAAGAGAGGAACGTAAGTCTTTATGATATAAGCCTGTCTGAGCATTCAGTGAAATTCTGACGAATATGTGCAACACTGCATAACTCCAATTTTACCTCTCGGATACTACGAGGGTAGAAATCCACAATGTAAATCACAATTATTTATACAAAAGTATCCCCAGTTTACAAACATGATGGTGCATTAGGAAAGTGTACCCAAACTAGTTTTCTCATCTTATAAAGGAATTCATCATTTACCACTAGGACAGTGAAATAATATTGTAGGGAAAAACTGTAATACATGTAAGATCACTTCATTTGTGTTTTCTTTTCTTATCAATAGGTGGATTTTATTTTACTTGGAGGAGACCTTTTCCATGAAAACAAACCATCTCGAAAAACTATGCATGGTACCATGTCATTGTTCAGAAAATACTGTCTGGGTGACAAGCCTTGCCAGCTGGAATTTCTCAGTGATCAGTCTGTGAACTTTTCCAATTCCAGGTCAGACTAAAGGTTACAAGAAAAATATGAAAGAAATCTAGGGAGACCTTCATTTTCTGATATAGTGAGTGAGGTTGGGGGTGAAGGGAGGAAAAAGGGCATCAATTATTGGGTCTGTGTTTCCTGGGACATTTGGCTCACTCTCCTGGTTCCTGCCACTTTGGCAATCACTCTTCGGGCCATCCCTCTCCCACCTCCTGTGGACTTCCTACCACTTTACTTTTGCTCCTTGATTCCCACCCTCCTATCCTACTTCAGTGTGTAACATGGAATGAACTCTCCCGGGAGTAAACTGTAGATTTTGTTGTTAATTAGGATTTTGAAATTTAGATTTTTCTATTAATCACAAGTGAAGAGGTTAACAAACTGCTCATGAACAGCCAAATATTAAGGTTTGGTATTGTATTGGATTTTTGATATCTTTATTTCTCAGGTTTCCTGTGGTAAATTATGAGGATCCCAATTACAACATATCAATCCCAGTGTTCTCTATTCATGGCAATCATGATGATCCTGCTGGGGTGAGATAGTATCATGAAAACATGTCCATAAGAACAAATACAATGCATATTTATCCACATGGCAGATTTTTTACTAACACTGCAGTAGTTTCATCAAGGGCCAGGCACCTGGCAGATTGACCGGCTGTGAGGATGATATTTCGCCTGGCTGGTTTGACCATCTAGAGAAATGTTTTCTTATAAAGAAGTTCAGTTCAAATAGTTTTGCCTTTCTTTGAAAACCAGTTACCCTTCTGCTAATGACACCCCTGCTAATGAAAACCCTAATGAAACCCTTGACACTGTATAAAGACATCTCAATACAGTCATTGTTAGCAGCAAATAAGCCCACGGAACATCATCAACATTAGTGTTTTCAAGATCTCTCGTCCTCCAGTAGGGACACAGGAGGAGGCGCTTGAATGGAAATTAATAGGTCTTCTTTTTTTTTCAAAAAAAAAGGCAGGAGTGGGCAGAGAATTTCAACTTTGTAGGCCTTGCAACTTTGTAGGTCCCTCCTGGTTCTTTGTTCCAGATCTGCCTGTGGAAAGTGGTAGTTTCATACAGTCTAGCAGTCATAACTAGGCTGAAAATTTGTTTCAGAAAATTAGTTTATTTGGTGAGAGGACTAGCAAGACATAACATATTAATTTTCTTGCTTAGGATGGGAACCTTTGTGCTCTAGACCTGCTTAGTGTGTGTGGGTTTGTCAATTACTTTGGTAGAGCTCCATCAATTGATGACATCACTGTGTCACCCATCTTGATTCAGAAGGGTGGAACTAAGTTAGCACTGTATGGTTTAGGATCCATCAGAGATGAACGTCTTCATAGAACCTTTCTGAATCAAAATGTCAAGATGCTGAGGCCCAAGGAAGATCCTGAATCTTGGTTTAATGTCTTTGTTCTACATCAGAACAGGTATCTTGATGTTAGTAAGATTCATATATTTTATAGTGAAACAGTTACTATTAGAACAAGGCTTGAAAAAACTTGAATTCCAGCTCGCCCTTCAGACAAGGAGCTCTCAAATTTTGCCTTCCCTGGGCAAGACTTAGCTTACTTTTTTCTCATTTAGTTGGCAGACAACTTGCCTGGGCCTTTGCCCATCAGGTAGTTGAGAATGAAAAGTTACTTGCCCAGCAGGTAAATCTACTTGTCCTAGACAACTGGACAGCACTTTTTTCAAGCCCTGTTGGAATTGCAGTTTTTTTTGCCCTCATTAGGCTATAAATAAAGGTCCAGATAATATGTTAAATGGCCAGATTATTCTGATTCCAAAGGGAGTCCAAGAAATGAAGTGTACATGATGATAATCTTTGTGGTCATTGTATCATTTGTTTTTTTTGTCAGGTCAAAGCATGGTTTAACAAACTACATTCCAGAAAAGTTCCTGGATGATTTTCTTGATCTTATAATATGGGGACATGAACATGAGTGTATTATAGACCCCAAGAATGCTGAGGACCCAAACCTGCCATTTTACATCAGCCAGCCAGGCTCAAGTGTTGCCACTTCCCTCTCTGAAGGAGAATCGAAACCTAAGTGAGTATAGAATTCTTGGAAAATGCAATTGCTAAACAAGAAACTCCCAACAACTTAACAGTCCATTATGTAAAACCGCTGCTGGGCAGAGGACATTTCAATAAAGGATAGCAAACTTATGGAATTCATTAGATAAAGATTTAAAACCATGCAAAGGTTCAGTAAACTTTAAGAAAAATCTTAAAGCAAAGATGCATGACGAGTTTTGAAACAATAAGTGTTACACTTTTTAATTCATTGTATTTTTATGGTATTTTTATTGTATTTTTACTGTGTTTGTACTGTTCACTGAAAAAACCCACTTTTGGGAGTGTGCAATAAAGTTTCATTCATCTCATTCATTCAACCGTTTGTATCACGCACAACTAATTTTTATCACTGTAACTAATAATATGCATGATGGTTACGTGTATAGCTGCAGTAGTTACAAAAATTGGTCACCATGGTTATTTGTTTCATCATCATCATCATCATTATCATTGTCATTGTATGCTGTTGCATTGTTGTCATAATGTTAATTACCCTCTTATCACTGTAACGGTTAAAAAAAATTGTCTGTGAAAGTAAAATGCTTTAATTTATAACATTATTTTTGTTCCCAGACATGTAGGAATTCTTGAAATAAAAGAGAACAAACTCTTCAAAATTACCAAGGTTAAACTTAATACTGTGCGCCCTTTTTATATGGAAGATGTGGTTCTAAAGGACACCGACATTGACCCTACTCAGGAGGATGTCATGATGGCCTTCCTGGTAGATAAGGTAGGTGTTAAGTTCTCACAAGCTTATCGCAGGCTCACGATTCTCAGCATGTAACTATGAATAATTATTGTCTAGGAGTACAGGTGTAATGTTCCTGCCTTTTAATGCAGTGCTAGTCCCTTAAAGGTGGACAGCATCATTTCAGATTATCCTTTCAGTATGCAGTATCTTGTTCTCTTGTTCTCCTGTTCTGAGCTCAACAATATTGAACTTTAAAGGAAAACGAAAAGTATTTTGAGATGACGGGCTTTGGGTGACTGAAAAAAGTATATCCAAGGGAAATTATTTAATTTTGAGGGGAATTAAAGATAAAGCAGCACAAAATTCTGACATCTGTATTGCTCTGTTTACTGCTTCGTGTAGGTGGAGCAGTTGATTGAAAAGGCTGAACGTGAGCACACTGGTAATCCTCGACAACCTGACAAGCCCCTCATTAGGATACGGGTGGGTTGTTTGCTGAATTACTGCAGTATTATTTTAAGGCTTCCTTTAGAAGTGAATGCTCTGTAAACAATCGCCACTCTTATATTGCATATTTCACTTCATTCCTCTCAGATTTCACCAAAACAGCTTTTTACTCTTTCAATTTTTTAAGTATTTATATAGACGCAATCAGCAAGTTACACTGTTTTCTTCTAAACCCATTTTTAGAGACAAAGTTCACCAAGTGAACATCTTTTATTCTTTTTTATTAATTTTTTTTTTTTTATCGCTGGTTAGGCTGCATATGCATGGTTTGCTAATGGGGTCAATACAGACAAGAAATTCATGAGATAAAAAGTATCATTTCTAATTAATTTATATTGTTTCCATTTTCATATTGGCAGGTGGATTACAGTGATGGATTCACAGCATTTAACATCCGAAGATTTGGACAACAGTTTGTTGACAGAGTGGCCAATCCAAAAGATATTTTACTTTTTTACAGGGGAAGGAAACAAGGCAGAAAAGGTTAATAATGATACAGCTCAGTTTAATGTTTTTTTGCTCTTCAGTGTACAAACAGCTAATTATGTCAGCTTAACTGACAACCAAAATCCAAAACGTGATAGTGTGATTGAGTTTAAATTAGTGTTTTATGCGTATTTTGTCTCAACAGATAAAAAGACTCAAGAAGACATTCAAGTCCCTCACCTTCGTCCTGAGGTACTGGACACGATAAGAATGGAAGATTTGATCAAAGAACATCTGATGTCAAAGGAAAATGTAAGTAGAGAGATTAAGCATAACATATTTACATCAAATGGCAAACGGCAAAAATGAAACTTTTACTGTTTGTCTTCAGCTGTCTATTATAGTAGAGTGAAAATATTTGTGTTTGCGGTGAACAGTGGGAGACATTTTCTATTTTGTGTGATTTAGTTAAGGATCAGAAGAAAAGAACACAAATTCAGAGGTAATCTTTGCCTTTGTCGTCTGCTGTAAACGTCATGCTTAAACTCTCTAGTATTCACAATAAACTCTAATCTATTTCTATGTCTTTCTGTCAAAAGTGTCAAAAGTGTAGTTTATTATCTTTGAGCCATAATGCTTTTTTGTGAGCTGTAGTTAAACCTCTCATACGTGGACAAGATATTAATAGAGTTTGCATGTGGCTGTGAGCTAGCCTGATTCTCGAATGGTCTGAGGTCACTTGCACTCACTCAGAGCAAGCAACCTCGGACTATCTGAGAATCAGGCTAGCTGTAAGTAGAGGGCCACTTGTTTTGTTTAACATTGTTATGATCCCACATCAGGGTCTCTGACCCATCTCTTAACGAGCAACAGTGGCGCTCCCTGGCACAGACTTACCCCGGGTCTAAAGCTGTCAAATATTATGGGAAAATAGTCCTGCAGATTCCTGAATATGTTAAACCCAAGCAGAGAACAACAAGACAGTACCATGAAATTCACATATTTAACCCCTGCAAGCAATTCTTACTAATCCATCTTTAATGCAAAAACTATACCTGAGTGAAGCTCACTTCTTGCTGAAATGATCGACCAACAACAGAGTATTGCTTTAGGCATTTAGGGCCAATCTCCTCTCTTTTAACCCAATGGAGATTAAGTGATGTTATTTCTTTTTTTTTTTTTCATTTTATATCTACAGTGATGGGTTAATCCTTTTGATAGTTTACAAGTAGATGTAGATGGGTTGAATCATGTGTACTAAAGGCATCCACAGTTGAGTGTCTACTGATACCCTTGATGGACCTGTGATCAACACTCGATTGACATCTCCATCGACAATGGATCGACATCCCTGTGATACTTGGTTGACACTCAATTGACATTTTGATTGACACTTGATCAACACTTGATCAACAGTTGGTCGATAGTCAGCTGAGTGTCAACCAACTCATGTACATCAATTGAAAATCATTCGACTCTCAACTGACCGTCGACAGAGATGTCAATTGAGTGTCAGCCGAGGTGTTAATGGAGTGTTAATGAAGTATCAACTGAGTGTCGATTGAGGGTCGATCAAGGATATTGATTGCAGGTATTCATCAACACTCTACTACATATGCCCTTAGTAAACCTGATTCAACATGTTGACAGTATCATTTTTTTATCATTTTTTTTTATCATTTAAGGCTTTGGAGTTACGCATTTTAACAGAGGGGAGAATGGCTCAGGCCCTGCGTGAATTTGTTGAGAAAGATGAAAAAGAAGCTATATCTACATTGGTTAAGTGGCAGTTAAATCAAGCACAGGAACACTTGAAGAAACGTCGAAATATTCATGAGGGCAATATTGAGGTTGAAGTACTAAAACATACAGAAGAAGTACGACAGAACGAAGAAGAAAATGAAGACAATGATGCGGAAGATATAAAAAAGGTAGAATCAATTCACAGTGCAATCTGAAAAACATGAACACTCTGGTCAGATTTTTTGTGGATAATTTGCTATTATGTCACATAGCTATGTGACATTGGATTGTTATTATGTCAATCAGCCTGGTGATGTATAAACCTTATATCCATTTTGTTCAGTCTACCATCTGATTGGTTGCGACGTCATGAATGTTAATAACAGGACTCCAATAAGGTTAATAAACATACAGCTATTCATAAGCTGTTAAAAGTAATAATAATGTTACAAGTTACAACAGTTGCGTTAATGATTTCTCAATCAGTTTAAATCAGTTGCCAAAAGAGAAACTGAGGAGAACGTAAAATAAAAGTTGTGCCCATGTTAAATGTTAGGTCCTGGAGGAGTCACGTGCCAACCAACCAAATAACAAAAATAAAGATGTTGATATGAGTGGGAGTGACGATGAGGATGGAACAGCTGGGCCAAGCACTAGCAAAGGTAAAGAAAAAAATGGTAGCCTTCTTTTTGAACTTCATATCAAAAACTCAAAAATTGTTTTTTCTTCAACAAAAAGTCTCCAAAAGATGCAGCTAGGAAAACTGAGTTTTTTGCATAGGTTATTGCTCGAAAACAAAGAGTAAACCAGCAAAACAAAAACTTCAGAGCAATGTTTCTCAGGTGAAACAAAGCCCAAATGCCAAAGTTCAGCTATTTTTGAGCACTTTCAAAAATGGCCAAAAAATCTTGAGGACGTTCTTGCCCGCGGCCTTTCAATTATGCTTGTGGCACATGTACCAATATCCTATGTTAATCTAGACTGATCATGTATACTAAAGGCATCTGCAGTCGAGCATCGATTGATACTCTCAAGTGACCATCGATCAACACTCCATTGACATCTCGATCGACATCTCGATTGACACCTGATCAACAGTCAGTCAATAGTCGGCAGAGTGTCGACTGACTTATATGTATAGATCGACACTTGATGGTGTGTCTGTGAAAATTAGTCAACTCTCAACCGGCCGACTGTTGAATGAGATGTTGATCGAATGTTGACTGAGTTTCAATGGAGAGGTCAATCAAGTGTTGATTGAGATGTCAATTGAGTGTCAATCAAGGGTGTCAATCAACACTTGACCGAGGATGCCTTTGGTGGAGATGATCCATCTGGACGACATTCACTTGATATTTTAGTCAGGCTAAGTGAATACATTTGGCTACATTACATCCCTTAGTTCCCTAGAGTAAGAAAAAGGCGCTGGTATGATAAATGCCAGCCAGGCCAGCTGGCCCACTCTGCACATAAAAATACTCTTCATCAGACCTCAACTTCATGTCTTAGGGAAACAAGGCAAGGGTGATGCTGCTAACATGTCCACAAGAGGTACAGGGGGAGGAAGAGGAAGAGGCAGAGGGAGAGGAAGAGGTGGGCGTGGCCAAGGAAGGGGGGCAGTACAAGCAGCTGCCAACACTTCAAGGACTATCATGGATTGTAAGTAAGCCTTGTTGCCTTGTAAAGCTGTTGTCTTGACCCTTATGCCCAATCAAGGGCCCATTAGTCTGCTCAGCTTTAACAGCTGGGTTACAGCCCTTAACAAACACCCTGATTGGCCAATCTGTTCGGTGTCAAAAGTTAATTTGAAAATGATCACTTGAGCTTTTGGCTTGACTGAAAGAAATATACCTTGACAATGAAGAAATAGATTGGAGGGAACTTGAGGTTAGGAAGTTATGTACTTTACAATTCTTACCACTGTAAAGAAAATCAATAATAATACCTTGTTGACATGAATTTGCTATCACTATGAAAATCAATGTTGTGAACAATGATGTTCAACTGTTTGGGCGTGTATGTTATTGTATTTATACTAACTGTTTTTTAACTATGACTTGTGATCTTTAAGCATTCAGCTCAGCATCCAAGAAAAGACGTCAACCAAGCAAGGAACAGGTAATAAAATTGTTCTAACTTTTATCACACACACACGTGTGGTGAAAACAATTATGCAAGTAGATCTGGGGGTTTTTGCCTCAGTTTCAGTTTCATGTGTTCTGCCTTCAGCATACAGGTTCATTTTCATGCGGATCAAACTCATTTTCATAGGAAAGGTTTTGTCAATTAATCAATCAATCAATCAATCAATCAATCAATCAGTCATTTTTTTATTTCTTAATGTACACTTTAGTCCACATAGTAGAAGGACTCTGGCCCATTATGGCCTTGAAAATCCCTTTGATGCCTGCAGGTTTGTTGTTTTGGTTGGGAAGGGTTACGGAGGAAAGGGGTAGGGAAGTGCCATCTTTGCTGACACCTCTTGCACAGGTCAAAGGATTAGACAAGTTTCTGCCTTTGCGCATTTTCTGTCTTTTTATTTGAATTTTGTTTGCTACTAGTGGCTGGATTCTCTTACCAATTCTTTGTTCAATCAATGTTTCTCTTTTGCTTCCAGGAAATAATTTCTGATGACGATGACGATGATGAATTCAACATTCCTTTGTCATCTTCAGTAAAACAAAAGACAAAAACTACACAGTAAGTGTTTTCATTCTGTTGTTTTATTGTGGCTAAGATGTACCACTCACGCCTATCACTGACTCCGCACCTGAACGAAGCAAATAATGGTCCTTCTTCACTCCATCCATCAATCCACCCACCCTTCCATCCATCCATGGTAACCATGGCAACACTTTCGATGGAGATACCAGAACAAGCATGAATTTGGTGACGTTTTTCCATTAATTTCTTAATATTTATAATAAATTGAAACCATTTTTCTGTTATATAGGCCAACATCCCTAAGGGTGACGGGAGCCAGAAGCAAAAGATCTGTTGTAAACACTCAGAATGATCAGGTATGTCTTGCAAAATGTGTACTGAACAGGTGCAATTAGCAATATGCAATATTTCTTTAAGTGGCTTTTGTCAGGAATTTCACTAGACAGGATAAGATCCTACCGTGTTCATGTTGTAGAAGGCACTCATGGTGGCCTCATGGTTAGCGTTCTCTTCTCCTGATTGAGCAGTCCGGGTTCAAGCCCTGGCTGGGGAGCTTGTGTTGTGTTCTTGGGTGAGTCACTTGCACCCAGGTGTATAAATGGGTACCAGCAAACTTAATGCTGTGGGAAACGTCCTATCCAGGAGGGAGTAGAAATACTCCTAGTGGCTTCATGTTTTTTTATTTTTATTTTTTTTATTTTTTAGTAATTTTTCTTTTTTTGGCTTCATGTTACAGGATTATATCTCCCCTGATAGGCTTCTTGGCTCCTATGCAGACTCGACCTTTTATCTATGTTCAAAATTACTGTAAGGTGTACTTTTTTCTTGTAGAATGAAAGCGATTACTCAGATGACCCAGATGATCCTTTCTCCATGCAGCCAAGCAGTAAAAGAAGTAGAAGATAACAACAGATGAGTTCCATTTTTTGATTAGAGGTCGTCAAGTTGCATTGCCTATTTTTACAAATGAACAAATGTGACTGAGGATCCAAATTATCACTACAACGTCAACTTTTGTAGCATTGGAGAGGAAAGACTTTTAATATTAGCAACATATCATTGGTTTTAGTAGAAAATGGAATGTAGTTAGTAAATTAAAATTGTTAGAGTCCTTGGAGAATGCATTACTAGCCCAATAATGATATTCAGGACTGTCCTTGAGTTTTAGTTCACCTGTAGCCTTGATCTTCACACCCATAGCAAACTTGCTACTTTATGGGTGAATTGTATCAACTGCAGGCCAGTTCACCCGTAACATCAAGGGTCCATCAAACATACTCAGCCATAACAGGTGTTACGGGTTATGGCCCTTATTGACAGCCCTGGATATTTACCATGGGGTGAATAGAGTTTCTGGGACTGGGGCAGGCTATTGACAGGTGAAGAAAATTAGAAGTTGTCATAAAGAGACCAAAAGTTTAAACAAATTTTTCTTTTAATCAGTGATTCAGCCTGCTAGCAAGCTTTCTTGGAGTAGAACCCTGCATAGCTGGCAGAATTTCGTGCAGGAGTGCTTTTGAGCAAAGGGATTGGTGATCGCAGCTTCTCAGCTCGCAACACAGCTTCGTTGCCAGAGCTCAAAGTTCACTCACTCGTGAATCGTGCCAGCTACACAGGCTATCAGTGATCTTGTTCAAACAACCAACATGAATGCAGAAAGATCAACTCTTCAGCAGTGAATGAGTCTAGTAGTTAGATAGATGGTCAGCCAGTGAAGCAGGTCAAAGGGGAACTGGAAGAGGGGCAACTATAACCCTCGTCTCCTATACTCCATTGCTTTTGCCAGCCCTGTGGTTCACTGACTCAAGTGTTTGTTTGGTAGTAGTGGACTGCTTTTCTTTACTTTCAGAAGGTTTTCAGTCTAGAGGTTTCCTGGTTGTTAGCACTTGTAATAGTCATTATGTGAAAAAAGTACAAGATTGTTCAAGATTAATTATAGTTATAAAATATACAATGGAACAGAAGTCAGATTAGTTCCTATGTATTGAAAAACAAAACCTCTTGAGGTTGTTTATAAATTATTAGAAATTTTATATTTTTATATCTTGAGTTTATTGTAAAGTGTTGGAGGAAAAAAAAGGACAAAAACAAACCTTACAGTCTGTCTGTGTGTCTATAAAGTATGTTGTGTATGCATTATAAATAAGCTACAGTATTTATTGGAATTGGTGTGAAAGGTGGGTCTTAGTGTCAAATTCTAATCCACAACACGAAACCATAAACCCAATAATAACATGGTTCATTTATTGAAAGCCTTAGAAACAAAGGAAAAAAAATTAAGAAAAATATGATTAAAGAGAAAATTCACTATTTTCGTAAGTTGTATATGTTCTACTTAGATTTGAAAACTGTGTAATTTTGAGAAATTGAATGATTACCAGACAAAGGATGAAAAAAAATAGGAACAAAAGAACACAAACACTTTAACTGACAAAACAGAGCAATTTATTGTTTGTTATATTTTTGTTTTTACAGTTTGGAAATAATATATTTTGATTTAAATGGCTAACTTACAACTTAAAATGGATTTTAAATTAAACAATTTTTCTATTTTTTGGATTTTTTCAAGAGTCTTTAAATTTTCTCTCCATGACTATGAAATCAGTTTACCGCAAAGTCTTTTCACATAAAGCCTACCACTAATCACTAACAGCTATAACCTCAAGTAAATTGGCACTCAGGATATCAACAATGGTACAAATTTACACTAAACAATAAAAGTAAGTGTATGGTAAAGCAGTGGCTAACTATTGCTGAATATTTATAAAACAAAAAGGTTGTTATTCTTGATTGGCCTTTGTTGTTTATTAGCTTCAAATTCCATAGTGGAGCAAGGATCTGCTACCGGGGGAGCTAATTATTAAAGTAATAAGAACAAGGAAGCTTATAAAACGGTCTGAATAATACACTGTGGAAAGTTCTGTTTAACTGTGCTCTATGATTCGTTCACAAAACCTTCACCACTACTCATTCCAAACAATCCGATACAAAACAGTTTGCTAACATGATTGCGACAAGGTCACATGCATCTTCCAGTACTTAGTTAGTCTCCTTTGCAGCCATGTTTTCGGGTGGGGATGCAAGTTACGCTTTCTTTAGGGGAGGGAGCATTGCTCGGCCACCCCAACTGACAACTACAAGGCAGACTAGTGCTTGGTCATGTGCATTTTGTATGTTTGTTGTTATTGACCAATGTGAAAATTACTTTGGTTTGGGTTTTATGACACTATTAAAACTACTTTACTTTGTAAAATATAACTGTGTTTACTTGTTTATTTTTACAAAATAATGGATGTTTCTGTAAAAATGCTTTCTGCAATAGAATGACCATTATATAATTGACCGTCTCTTTCAAAACATGTCTACTCAGTTTTCATCATGACCAGTCTCTCTCAAGCCATGGTTTCCATGGTTGCCATGGATGCCATGTTTTTTATGCCTGTGGTGATGCCGTGATTTATGTAGAGGCAGGACTTTCTTTTTGTGAAGATGAATTCTTTCTTTTTGGTCATGTTTAATAATCTCTTTTGTAAGTTGTTCCTTGGCTTCTGTACCTTTCACAATAAACTTGCTGGGCTCCTCCTCCACGTCATCTTCAGTTGTTTCAGCTCCTGGCTGGTTTGATTCCTTCCCTATGAACAAGAACAAATTATACCACCATACATGTAAGTTACCTCAAAGGATGTCTCATGTGAATAGTAAATAGAAGTACCCAAAATACTATGACATAGCCTCTTTAAGTCTGGGTGGAAATTGAGTCTGGTAGATATCCTGTCTTTTACTTACCATCACATTTCAATGCAGTACAGATCCAGTTTCCACAGGCACAGACACTAAGGGGAAAAATAAAATGCAGCTTGATCTCTATTTTAAGAGATATTTTAAGTTTTCAGCATTTCTATGTATCAAGCTATATAGACAAAAGCAAAAGTTTGGGAGAATGAGAAATGCTTTTGGAACACAAGCTGCAGGTGAATCTTTCCACAGCTTTTTTCAGTTCTCCCAAACATTTACTATGTATTTCAATCTATACCTCAAATACAATAGAAACATGACAGTATGGATTTGGAAACTACAACATAACCAAACATGCTACAAAACCTTACCAGCTGTTGCAGTCTGTTGGGATCTCTGTACCATCATTGTAAACCTCACTGTCCAGCTCACAACCTGTATCGCAAATACTCTATCACATCTCTGATATTTCATTCATGCAGTGGTTGTTCATTTCATAAATAATTCATACTCTGATTTCATGGAATATATATTTACCTTTCTTTGGTGGCTTGAATTCTGCAAGAGAAAGGCATCAAATTAGTGGTAATATTTAAATTTACTCTGTTGGAAAGGAAAGTTGCATGTTTGGTTAAACATTACAGTAAAGTCTGAGTGTGTTCAAGCCTTAAGTGGCCCATGGCCATAGTACTGCTAATCTCTGGTTTGTGGATGGGATTGTATCCCATCACAGGGTAGCCCCAGAGTCTAATTTGCCAGGTTCCCATTTGTACACCTTGGTGCAGGGAGGAGCTGTGGAAGCTAAGTGTCTCACCCAAGAACACAATAACCCCAGCCAGGACTTGAACCCAAACTGCTAGATCCAGGATCCAGCACACTAGCCATTGGAATGTAAACATTTTTGTAACTCACGTGGATCTAAACATTTCATGAACTCAGTAATATTCAGCTCCCAGTCAGAATCCTCATCACTTAATGAAAGCAGGGCATCAGCACAAAGATTTTGCAGGACAGGGTTGATGTATTCATCTGAACTTACAATCTGCAAATTGAAAAAACAAGACAGATCATCTCCTTGAATGTGCTTCCTAAGCTTAAAATCATTTGTACAAGGCCTTGGCATCTCAGTCCCCTTAGGCCTACTAGCCTGAAACCAGACTTTTATCCATAATCAGAGGATGACCAATGGATCAGGCTACTAAGGCTTTTAATCCTAAATCTACATACCTAGCCAATGGAAGGTCATAATCACTTTCAAATTTCTAGGGGGTGGAAGGTCTCAAAAGGCAAAATATTTTTAAAGTATGAAGTTGGACTATAATTTTCTAGAGGAGTGGAGGGATCAAACCAGAGAAGGAATGCACTGTCCACTCTACCTCAGCTATAGATTGATTAGCCCCAACAAACTCTCGGAACTCTGTAGCATCAAGTTTGCCATCATCGTTTTCATCCACCATGTCAAAGTAAGACTGCAGGAGGTTTCTGTAGCCATCAAGTTCTTCTGGTGACTTGTTTTGATTCTTTAACCATCCAATCAAATGATTACGTATTTCATCACGGTCATGTTCATAGCAAACAACTGAATGACAGAGAAGGAACATTCTGTTCAGTTACTATCTAGCAGTCTTAGCTAGAGGAACTATGAGATTTTGTCAAAACCAATGTAGACTTGTTCAGGTACCCATTTGTTTACACCAAGATGTTGGAGAAGTGTTGAGAGGAAAGTTGCTTGCCCATTAGAACAAAACACTGTGACCCTAGCCAGGGGCCTGTTTCTCAAAAACCCCAGAAACTTTTTGGGCCCGTAAAGCCATGTTTAGTCCATCTGTATCTAAAAACGTAGTAGTGTATATACGCCTGAAACTTCTTGTATGAAGGGAACTTCTCTTCATATTAAGAATATGTGAATAAAACAGCTCTGTAATCATAAGGTTTGAGATTTTGCTATGACTTTACTGGCCTGAAAAGTTTCCAGGCTTTTGAGAAACAGGTCCCAGAGCTCTAACTGATTGTATTCTTCCAGAAAATATCCATACCCTCCCATGAGGATTTTTTGGGTTTGACTCCCTCCNCCCCCCCCCTCCCACCTCTCTGGAGATTCCAGTTTTGCTTCATGGCTTTCCTTTAAAAATTCTGGCTTTTGAGACCCCCCTCCACCATGGAATTTCCAAAAACACTCCTACTACCCTCCTTGGGGTGGGTATGGATATTTCCTCAAACCACACATCATTACACAACAGCTCAAACCCCAAAAACAAAACTCATATAACTTACTAGGTTTCCACTGATTATTCATTGCAGTTAAAGGAGGTTGAGTTGGTAGTCCCTGGCATTCTCCTTCATACTTGATGGAAATCTTCTTTCTCTCTAAACAGGAAGTCCTGTGCAACTCACAGTGGTTTGGAAATGTCATTCCATTCGACCCGCAGACTGGTTTTTCGTGATCAGGGCATGACTTCCTGCACACACAGGCAGCATTACTATCGACAACAACACACTCCTGACTGGTGTGGCATACGACATTGATACAAGGATCTAAAAATGCAAATAAAATCACAGCCATGCATACCATGCTAATCTTCCTCTGTTTCAACAGTTTACCTGTAGGTTAGACACTATATTTAGTGTTTCTGTCCTTAATTTCAGTCATTGAGGCCCTGTTAACCCATATCCCTGAGTAACCCACATCCCATTAATTTCTGGCCAAAATATCCTGTATCATGTAAATTTTGATTTCAAAAACTTTCAATTTTCCCACTCAATATCCCAGAAAATCTGTTCTCAATATCTCTGATCCCATTAATTTTTCCCAGAAATATCTCATATAACAAAAATCCTTTATAGGACCTCGCCATAGGCTTAGTGACTGTTTGGTGGCCTCAAAGCATCAATATTTTTTCAAGTAACATTATTATAGGTTTTTTACTGTTTAAAAGATCTGTTTGGTTTGCAGAAACTGTCAGTTATATTATCGACCAGACAATATATTGAGTGTAGGTATCTTCCAGTAGGGGAGTGGGTGTACTCCTTGCAACTTTCAGTAGGGGCCTGTTATGCAAGCCTTGTGATGAGACAATATTAAACCACACTCTCCCCTCCCATGACAAACACACTGCAATATGTTCATACAGTTGACATTAAAAGTTAAGGTTTACATTACCTTCATTCTCTGAGTCAAGTGATTCCTTATCTTGCTCAACAAAACGCTAAGATACAGAAATCATGTTACAGTAATTAAACATGCTTATCATCAACAGCAATGGAAGTATTTTAAATTTGTTCATTTTGTAAAATGCCTTTGTCAGGCGTAATTTGGCAACCGATCAATACTGGAAATCCAGAGATGATTTTAGTTGTAATACAACACTGAACAGGCAAACTTTCCTTTAACTCTTGAATGAATTTATACTTTGTGTTTTTGCTATTCCACTGGGAACTTAATTGCTTTATATTTAAAGTATCAAAATTTGTTACCGGTAATAAAGACATTTCCATCGGGTTTATATACATCGCGTGTTAATTCTCCCATTCAGATCCCGTCAACGATGGGTGTCTGACATTTTCACTGTTTAAACACAGCAGCACCATTTGCATTATAAAATGTTACTACTTTTTTTACTTAAAAAAAACTTTCGGTGTAAAACGATTTCTTGTGTAACTTGAGCAAGAAATGACTACCAAACAACGAGTGAAGGAAAACAATTACAAACTGTTCTCGTCTTTCCAGAGTGTGAGAAATCACGGTAGATTAATGGCCTTTCGCAGGGTAATAAATTAAACTCTATCTAGTCATAAGAAATATTAATTCCAACTCACCGATTCTCCTGTACTAGCTGCAAGGGAAGCCAAATTCCACAACAGAAGACTGACTACAAACGCACGCATCTTGTTACCCTCTGTCACTTCTTCAAGCCGCTTGAGAAGTCTGAAAAGTCAAGCGCATTAAATCTCCCGTTCTTTTTGAAACACTTTGTTTGCTATTCGGCAGACAATGTCCTAGACAATGCCCACCTTCTGACACGAATCCACAAGGCACAAAAGAATAGAAATTTAGCTCACCAGTACAGTACAAAGAAGGAAAGCCCGCTGCTCTGATCACTAGCACTGACTTCGTAATGAGTCGCATTCCTCAAGTTCATTTGGAGTAACCTGATCCCTTCGTGCCAGACTATTTGATCTCTTATCAACAATGACTTCTCTCATCAATGTCAATTACTTAATTACTAGATAGCCAATAATTAACACAAGTTTGCAAATTTCTTTTTTTTCTTCCCTTTGAAAAATTGATACAAATTGTTTTGCAGAACTAAATTTCTTCTTGCAGGGTTTCAACCGTTCGTATGGCTCACCCAACTGTAGCTCACTTTTCGTCTAATTCTTTTACAGAGTTGACAGGACTATAAATGTACGTGGGTTTTGAAAAAACCGGAATTTATTGGCCGATTTGGACAGGCTGAAAATTAATAACGTCACGCTGGAAGGCTGTGACCTAACCCTTTGAATTCATAGGCCATATGAATCCTATCAGTTAAAATTTTCGGCGATTTACAGTCTGTAATACCCAGCTGTTAGTTTACATTGCAGCCCGTTTCTCAGCTATCAGTCAAAAACACCTCATTGACTAATTTACCTGCTGACAGTTAAAATTTTGACCAATTTTCAGCAACAGTTTACCCGATCTAGCCTCTTGGCAGATGTTCATCGTGGTTAGGTTTTGATTGACAACTTCCCTCGTTTTGCAGTTCCGGCAAGCGGGTTCACACTTATCAGACCCCCCAGATAAGCGTGAGCACAAGAAAAAGGAAAATGTTTCTTTATCTTGTGCTTATGCTTCTGCTTATTTCACTTCTGTTATTCTTATCTAGCCTGTACTGTACATCCCCCACGCCCCTCAAAAAAATCGGGGATATTTTTTTTGGAGGGGAAGGGCTGGCGGAGGTACACAGGCTATGTTTATCTCACAAGTGTGAGCCAGGATTTGGATCCTTCATGAAAAACGTTTTCGTTTTGGATATGCCCGGGTTTTTCGATGATTCTGCGATGAAATTTTCGCAGAGCAGGTCAATCTTCTCACCTTTATAATTTCTTTCGAAACTACTTGTTGTTTTCATGTCAAATACTGTTGGTTTGCAAAATAAAATTGAAATCCACAAAAAAATTATGGGTCATTAACCAGGATCCGACTATTAAATATACGTTCCACATCTTGCAAAGATGTTAACTTTAAAATGTAAGGTCAAGTACCAGCCGTAGAAGGTGAGTATTACTGTAACACATTACGGGCTCATCAATCTAACGTTATTTTTTCAAACTAGGGTATCTAAGAGATAGTAACGCTGCGGCACATTCTGTTGACGGTGACATATTTTACGCAGTGATTCATCTACCTGCACGTTCCAAGGCTTACAATAACCTTTATTTCTTAAAGTAGTGTCAAATCGTGGGGTGTTACCAAAACAAAGATTTCCAAATTGTCTGCGAGGAAAAAAAAAAACAAAATGTGTCCCTGTACGCATCAACTTCATGCACGATGACGCATTGATGGCGAGGTGTGACAAGGGATCATTACAAAAAAGCACATACAGTAGTGATCTGAACTATGTAATGTTTGGACACAAAACGGTACACGTTGACCTCCCCTTTACCAGATCGCGAAAACCATAAGATGTGGAAATTGTAGGAGCAGAAATCTAAGGGAAGTGGTCAAAACTATGTTACATGCTAGGGACCCACTTTTTGGAGGGAGGGCTATATAAGAGG